TTATATACATTCAACACACAAATATTCATACAGTTTTCACAAAGCTCCCAACTATCCCCAGAGCTGTCAGAACTGAGGATTGTCAGAATATCATATCTAACTTTGTACCTGCATCTGTAAACGGAGGGGTTCTGGTGAGTCAGTTTGCCTATAGATGCAGATCTATAGTGATCACTCTTTGATGTCAACAGGACTAGATTTCTCTTGGGTGCCTCCCCATGTCTACACAAAGGGGCATGTTCTTATCTTGAGCATCAAGGGATCTACTCTTTGAATACTAACTAAATTGTTTGAGTCTTATGGTATCAAATGTACACAGTGATGAGTAAACAGCTGCTTTGGCAATGCCTGTCCTGGGTGGCTCAGTGGACAAGGCTGGCAGATGCAGGAGGCAGCAGTGGGAACAGTAATGCTGGCTGGGACCTCATCCCACAAGGCAAAGTCATTCTGTCTTGGGGAGAGCGGGAGGGGACACTCCAGTCTCAGGGCAGACTCTGAAGTTCCAAAAGTGGAGAGGCACTTACTGGTTTAGCTTTTTATTATTATTACTATTTTTTACCATCCTTTTAAATTGCTTATTGTCCTTTCTTAGCAAAAAGTTCTAATGGAGCAGCTGGAATGGACTTTCGGGCTGAACTTCAACTCTTCCTCCTGTCCAAACCAACATCTTCTGCTTCTCCAGAGGAACAGTTGCCTCTGTAGCTTCTCTGACACAACTTGGAGGCTGCAGGGAGCTCACAGCTGTCCACACAGCAGCTCAGAGGACACCAGTTCCAGTCCTGCCCTCTTTCTTAGGGCTCACCTGGAGGCTGCAGGGTGCTCAGGACTGCCTGCTGGACTCCTCCTGTTGTCCTGGAATGGCAGCAGCTCGAAGGACACCAGTCCAAGTCCTTCCCTTTTCCTCAGAGCTTGGGAAAAAAGGGGTGGGAGATTCTGGGGAAGGATGAGGATGGAGGATGGGAAAGGAAGGGAGCAGCAGCTGGAGCTGGGGCTCTCTGGCAGATGGTGACATTTCAATGCTCAGATGGAAGTCGATGGCCCCTGGTGTGCCACCAGATGTACTGATGTCTCCAGGCAAGCACGGTGTTATAGTGCTTGCCTGGCTCTTATGGAGGTGGATCCATCTCCATTGTTTCTTCCTCTGGAGACACATTCACCACCATGGGCTCAACGTCGTCCTTGGGTGGATCAACGTCCATTGGTTCTGGTTTGCTGCTGCTCCCCTGAACCTTACGCTTCTTGGGTAGGGGAGGATCCATGGTGGGAAGGGGGAAAGGCTCCTTCTAAATTGCTGCTTCTTGTGCTAGAAGGCTGCACCAAGACACAAGTCTTTTAGAGACTGGAGTTCCGTTGTCAGGGTCCCTGTATTTATAGCAATCATCAGGGAGGTGGCTTGGGACATTACAAAGCCATGGCAGAGTGACCCTAAGAATGTCCCATGAGAATCAGAAGATGGATGTGTTGGGCATGGGGAGCCCTCAGCTGGAGGGGTGCCCCAGTTGCTGCTGATGGAATTCTGGGATTTGAACCAATTCTCTTTAATGTTTTCATCAATGACTTGATATTAAGTAAATTTTGGATGATGCTACATTGGGAGGGGTGTTGGTTCCCTTGAGGGTAGAGAGGCCTAGGCCCAAGATCCTGACACATTCGAGGGTGGTCACCATCTGCATGAACAAGAGCAGATGCTGGTTCTGCACCTGAGATGGGGCAGCCCTGGCTCTGTGTACAGACCGGGGGATGAGGAGCAGCCCCTTGGAAAGGGAGCTGGGGGTTCTGGCCGGTGGCAAGTTGAACCTGAGCCAGCAGGGTGCCCTGGAGCCAGAAAAGACAACCATGCTGGAGATACCAGGCCCTGTGCTGCACAGCCTCACTGCCAGCACTGCCTGTGCTCTGGGGCCACAGTATAAAAAGGACATAAAGCCATCAGAGAGCATCCAGAGGAGGGCTACAGAGCAGGGGAAGGGTCCAGAGGGGAAGTCTTTGTGAGTATACATGGGTCCAAATGAGCCAGCCTAAAAGAAAACATCATGCTGATCCTTCTCAAAACATCAGCTAACACAGAACGAGATATTTTCAGGATTTGTGAAGCTTCTGTTTCAACCAATGTGCGTGAATATTAGTGCTTGAAAACACACACAGATACTTTCCTCATTCTTAAATCAAATTTCCCAATTTTCTGCAGCCTGAATACACTCTAGCCTAGACAGCTCACCACAAACTCCTCCTCGCTCTGCACATCAGCTCAATACCTCCACCACTATTTCCCCTCACTCGATGACAGCACTCATCCAGCTTTTTTTTTTGTCAGCACCTATCCATCTGCTAATTTGCTTTTGCAGGCACAAGCTGATGTTTGGCCTTGCTTCAGTACAGCTGTGCGAGTGTGACGTGCAAAAAAGGACGCGGCTCTAAGTCCCTGCAGATACACAGCAGGAATACATGAAGACTTCTCCTTACAGTATTCTCAGTGGATGAGTGGCATGCTGATTTCAATCTGTTCAGGCTGTATTGATTACAGCCCTACTGTCCATCAGCATCACCTGTCATCATCGTCAGGCTGCCGGTATGACAGCTGTCAAGGAGCAGAATAAAGTTGACTGGCAGAACGTTTTGCATCTAATGAGTCTGTGCACAATGAAAGTATAATAAAAAATATGCTATGGAGGAACTCGGCTATCGCTTAAATACCAGAAGAGAGATATTGCCTTAGCAGAAAGTCCCGCAGCCATCTGTCATCTGTCATTAGCTGCATGTCTGAGGCTGAGCTGGACTGAGGGAATGAAAAGCACCAGAGACTAGTGATGGGTGCCTTGTGTCATGCGAGGAGATTTAAAGTGGGCTGACATCAAGAACCCAGAATCACTCAGAAAGAGCTTAAAACTACAAAGGCGCTGCAGATTTGATGCAGTGTTCCTTCGCAGCGCTGCTCGCAGAGACTTCTTCCAGATGAACTTTGGTTTGACGTTCACTGGAAATCACATAGCAATGGTCTGTCAGTGGCGTGACATACCAGTGAGCTTACTTTTAGCAGATGAGCAGGGCCTCAGAAATGAATTACCACAGCTGAAGGATGGGCAGAACAAAGCACCGAGGGGCAACAAAGCAGGCACCGGCCTTAGCATGGTGGGGTTGTACGCTCATTGTGCTGCAAGTCTCCCAGATGACATTGAGACTGTAGATAACAAAGGAAAATAAGCTTCCAACATGGTGCTAGAAGGCTACAGAGAAGTTCCTAGACATATCTTGTTGTCTACCAGGACCAGCAGCAGGACAGCATCAATGCTTCTGGTTGTGCTGCCACTGCAATGCAAAATTCATTTTCAAGCCCAATCTAAAGTAGCCCATGGTCCAACGGGCAGGAAACTGTCACAGTGAAGGAGGACACCAAAGAGCTTCCCTTGTGCAGATGCACACAGTATGAGAGTTGCTCTTCCTCTTGGCACAGAAACAGAGCAGCCACTCTGACCCAGGCAGCCCTATAATGCTGGGATCCTGTAGCTGCAGAGTCCAGCTGCCTCCCATTCCAACAACCCCGCTCACACACTCCATCCTCAGCAGCACTCACTTTCCAGTTGTTGGGATAATCAACACTGCACCACTGCCGGTGTCAGGCTGGGAACCTGTAAGATGAAACAAGCCAACAGACATCTATACTAACCATTTCTTCTCATTTTCAAGCCTTCTTCAAAGCTCATTTCTGGCTACTCGTTCTTTTTATTAAATAGAATATTGTTACCATTTAAAAATCGTTTTTGATGGACTAGACCCAAAGATTTGTGGCTGTATTCAAAGATGCAGTACTGCTTTGCAGCAGGGTTTAATTGGGGTGCTGTTTTTTGCTTTTGAACTTATCATAATTATGAACAGATTTTTTTTAATGTGTCCCCTGGTTTCTCCCTTCGAAAGAAAATCTCATGTTTAATGAACTTAATTTTAGATAAAAGGAATTAAAAGAAGAAAATTAAAAATGCATGAAGCTCCTAGAGTCATCCAATTATTGTGATGTCCATACAGCAACACCAGCGTAGATTTTACAAAGCAACTAAAAGCAGAAAAATCACTGAGGATCACCACATGTAAATTCTGTTCTGTTCCAAAATATGCTGAATTAGAAATGTACATTTTATGCATTTCTTCTTCTTGATCTGTTGCAGATGATGATAAAGATCAAACATGCCAGGCAGCCCCGAGTAGCATATCTATGCATACCCAGAATGCTTGCTTTCTTTTTTCCAAACCAGTCAGCTCTGTAGCCAAAATATTAGAAGACATATGAGAAGATGGTGTTTTTTGCACTCCTACTGCAACAAAAGCAGCTGCCAAGCTGGGCAGTAGTAGTACTGCTACTAAGCATACTTGTGGCCTGCACAGCTTCCAGAAAAACAGAGACTTTGGTGACGTGGCCATTAAGCACTGCAGCCCAACCACACTTCTCCTGCAGCACAAAAAGATACATTTGGATCATATACAACCAGGTACAGAAACGGACTTGACTCCCTTTTGGTCAGTGCCTCTTCTAGAATTTGGTATGAATCACAGAGAGAAATAAGCACACACAGCATGATGACACTGCTGCCCCAAGGACAGCAGCATCACCCAAGGCCACATTTCACTCTTACAGTAGCTGGCACCACTCTCACAGCAATTCTGTCAGGCTGGCAACTTTTTGACCCAAGAGGTGTTATTTCTTGCTCACTGCTGACACCTTGTTTGTGACAACCCATGCATCTCTGTCATGCAGGATTAGCCATTACACAGGTGCATCCCTTGCCTTGTATTTGGCACAGGGCAGGAGGTGCTTGCTGTGAGCAGGGACCTGCAGAAAATCAGCTTCAATCCTCGATAACAGAAAGAAATGGGGAAGTAGCCAGTGGGTCCCAGCTGCCTTCTGGAGAAAGCTGTACAACCACCATGGGGTAAGTGGACATCTGAGGACACACCTTCAGTTGGATCTCCTTCAGAAAAGAAAAACAGAGTAAACACACATACAAGGAGGCTGTGTAGAATACCAAGCAATCTTTATTCTGTATTTAAATGCGAATATCAACCTATGAGGTGCACTTCTGCACATTCAAGTTGTGGAAGGTGATGCTGTTGATTTGCTTCCCAAAAGCAAGCGGTGGAACTTCAATCATAGAAGTCATCAAAGTCATCTGCTTCTGGGCTGTGAGTTTGTGGACGCAAAACATCCACAGCCTCAGAGCTGCTATCGTCAGATTCGCCCCAGAAAGCTGAGAGTGAAGGCAAAAAATAAAGGGAGAATTATAAAAATCTTCTCCATGCCCATGTGACAGCACAGGCCTTATTCTTTTACAGCTCTTTTGAGGTAGCTAGACACTGTGGTTTATGGAGGAGCTCGGGCTTAGGGTTGTTTTGATGACCCCCAGCAGAGGTGTGCATTTCTGGCACTGTGCTGTCACCAAGTCGTGGTTTCCTAACTGAGCTGCTGTGGAGGAACAGTGAGCCATTTACAGGGCCGACTTCATTGTTCCTCAAGGTAGTTTGGCAGAATATTTCCACTCCAAGCAATTTACTTGACCATCTGCTGCCTGAATTACAGCTTTGTCTATTATGTTCCACTTTCTCCCTCTATTTGACCCTACAGTGAAGTCACGGGATAACCATGACATCAGAGTTGGCATAAAAATGGCAATGATGTCACAAATGGGAAAAAACCACCACTCTGTGACAGGACCACATACAGACAAAAAACGACTTCAAAGAACTGGATGGCTTTAACAAAAGGACCTGGTAATTAGCAAGCAATTTCACTGAAAAACAGAATCACATTTAAATTTGAAGTGCTCGAGAGATTCCTCGATATGTAAATTCCTTTGACCCATGGAAGGAGAGGGAAAAAAAAAAAAGCAGCAGACACACAGGGAAGTACACAGAGCTCTTCACAACGAAGGCCTGATGAGATGATTCAGGTGTGAAGGTTGCCAGCTCAGTCGTGCAGTAACTGTTAATTTTTCTTTTTCCCTTGATTAAAAAAAGAAAACCACAACAGAAAGCCACGCTTTTATCTCCAGAAAAAATAGTTGCTTCACCACCAAAGGGCCACTGAGGAGTGCTGCTGATCAGCAACAACACGGGGCTCTGCAGCAACAGTGTTTGAATGTTAAACTGCACCCACGACAGCAACAAGCATAGGCTGAGGGAGTCAGAGGAAACAGAAGCACAGGTGGGAACAACATTCACAGGCACAAATTCCCTTCCTCTTTGGGTTCGTGTTTACCCAGGGCAGCAAGGCACAGACATCCTACCCCACAGCTCCCCCTGCCCTGCTCTGGTGAAACCTCTCTGCAGGTTGTGTGCAGACACGTAACATCCTTCTCTCTCTCAGCCCACTGTAGGAAGCAGCCACAGGATAGAATGTCAAGCCTACAGTTATTTCCAGAGCTGCACTGCCTGGTCCTAAAGGTTTTCAGAGGGTCCTCGTTTCTCCAAAGTTATCAAAAGAAAGTTGAGGCAAAAGCCTCACAAATACAGATTCAGACGGCAGGAGAGAGGCAAACTGTCAAGCTTCATACAGAAATTTCAGCTCATATTCGACTGAAGCACTGTTCACTATTTTGTGCTTTTGATGGCACAAGCTATATAAATACCTTATCTACAAATGCAGCAGCTGCACCTTTCATCCTGTATCCCCAGACCCCTGGACTGCAGGTCTGCCGTGAGCAGCAGAGTGGGGCAGGCTGCACCCTGTGCTCGTTCCCATGCTGAACGTGTGGGAGGAGAGCAAACGTGCCGAAGGGCTCCACAACACGCAGCTCCCCAGCAGAGAGCTAAGCAGGCTAGAGATGTGACAGAGGCCTTTCAAACGGCATCAAAGCACCCATGGTTAATGGTATCCTGAAATCAGCTCAGATTCCGTAACTGTGAAATAAGCTTGGTATCTCTCAGGGCTGTAATAGCTCCCGAGGCTCCCAGCAAAAAACTCTCTGGTCCCAGTACTGCCTTCCCTCACAGAGTTACAGGTGAATTTGGACACCAGCAGTTAAGGTAACTAGAAGAAAAATCAAATGTAGGAGAGAATGAAAACACACAGGGCCCAGAAACTGGTTTAAAAGAAAGCCTGCACAAGGAAAACAACTGTTTCAGACAAACACGTGTACAGACACTGTTGTATGCCCACCTATGGTAACCACACAAACACACTGCTGCCCATCCACTCCTGCACTCAGTATTTCAAAGATAATGCCAGACTTTTCCTCCGCTAGGCTTGAAGAACATGGTTTAGTGGGGGAATATTGGTGGTAGGAGGACTGGATGATCTTGGAGGTCTTTTCCAACCTTGGTGATTCTATGATTCTCCTGCTCCTATTTGATTTAAATCACCAAGCACAACGATCACTGCCCTTCCAAATCATGCACTGTGAAACATGTCCTCTCTGATCCAGAATTTCCCATCAGTAACTACTTGCCTGTTCCTGTGCTGAAGTAGTGAAATTCCACATTTCCTCCATCTCCTTAAAAATGCTGTATTTAGAGGCTTTCTGCCATTTCAATTTCCCTAAGAAAGACAGGTTTTTAAGCAGTTTAACAGTTGTTTCTTACCTTTGGATTTTATAGCAGTTATCGCTCCCTTCCTGAATTCAGGCCTGCAAACAGGGAAAGATTGTAAATATTCAGCACAGTGTCACAAAACTAAAAGACATTCAGTTGACTTTTTTGTTTTTTAGTAACTACTCGCTCCTTGGTCGCTGTTTTTCCCACTTGCATGTTTTACAAAAGGTGGAGAAATTATCATGCAACAAGGACACTGGTCCAGATGTTCAGGCAGCATGCTCTGGAAGCAGCATTGCTAGCACTGCTGATGTACACCAGTAGTGAATTAAGGGGACAAAGCATCACAGCTTCATCTATCTTTCGCAGCCTTTCAGATATGCACAGAAAGTAAAGAAAAAATCCAAACAAAAATAAAAGCACCCCCCACTGATGCTCACTGAACTTCCTTATTTCCCATCCTGCCAGTGCACTCCTCCAAGTCAGCTCCTGGGTTCCCATAGCATCACCCACGTCCCTATGTAAATGTGCAATCTTCCAGCTGCCTTTGATCTACCTTGATGTATATGCAGTTGCGATTCTGTTCTGTTAAATGACTGCTCTTGTGTCTAGAGCATCACAGGCCCTTTTGAATCTCTCAAACAAGCTGGAATCATTTTGATCTTTTGTGTGTAGCGTGTGTATTGTGTTGGTGCTGTGAAATAATCACATAGGGGCAATGATGTAGGAGAATTAACTGTTATATTAACAATCCCGCAATAAGCTCTAAAAATAAAGCTTCAGCTGATTTTAATAAGGAAGATCAAATAGGAGATATTTGTGACATTACTGTGTGAACTAGTCCAACATAAGCAAATGTCAAGCTGCAATTTGAAGCTGTTGCTACAGTCAGAACACAATCAGCTGTCAAAATTTCACACAATTTGCTGCATTTCATTTAGAGACACGGCAGCTAACACATAATTACTTGAAGCGAGGAGTTAAAAATATTCTAACTACCATCAATGAAGGCATTTGTGAAGGAGATACAAGACGACAGATGATTCATTGCTCGTGTTACATCACCGTATTCAGTGAGATTTTGTGATTACAACTGGAAAGTTCAACTTAGCACAGGGGAGGTTTCATTACATTACAGCTACCTCTGTAACAGCAACTCCTCTTTTTAAGAGAAAAAAATGTTAGTTAGTTATATTCATTTCCTACAAGCTGTGAACGCCATTAGCCTCAATCTCCCTTCTCTAAAGGGATTCACAAATTCCCAGAAGTCGAACATTAAACACAGCTGAAGTTCAACTAAAATACCAAAAGAACATTTAGGTACTAGTAACAAAACAGCAGCACTAGTTAAGTACAAACAATTAGAAATATATCCTTTAAATAATTCACTCAAAAATGCGTCAGCCTTAACTAGTGCATCTGACAGTCCTCAGCACGCCATCCAAATCTCTCCTGGTTTTATTCAGTCAAACCCCACCCTACACTACACTCCAACTTCTGATTCAAATTCGCTCACTCCAAATGCTTGCTGAACACACTGCACAGGTCAGGTCCTCCAGGCTGAGGCCTTTGAACAGCCAACCACGCTGAACTCCTGCTCATTGTGCTGACATTTCCTGACCCTCGGCGCTCCCCAGGAGGTGCCCCATGGATCCCAGGCTCAGCCCACAGCTTGTGCTTAAGAGGAGGCAACTCCATCAGCCACATCGTTTTCCCCTGGGTGTAGAGTGAGAACCCACTTGTTGCTGAGCTGCAAATGGAGAGGTGACTTCCGTGGCAGACTGCACAAGAACCGTTTTGCCTTCAAGTATTTCATTAAAACAAGCTCACACAGCTGACAGCTACCATTTACACTGCCTACTGCTTCCTCTTCCACCGTCGGGAAGGGAGGTGGAAAGGCTTTATCATGCAGCCTCAGAGTGACCCTTTGCTCCGCTTGGTTCAGGCCACGATTGGACGTGTGAGGGCTGTTCAGGTGGATCCATAGCCCTGCTGGGCTGAGGATCACCATGCAATACCAGGACCACAGGATGAGCACCCACAGCCCTGCACAACCCTGAGCACTTCCAACTGCTCCAGGGCCACCTGAAGGCCTCACTGAGAAGCTGTGGTGCAAGGACCACCACGGCCAAGAGGTGAGGCACCCTGGTCTAGTGGGCGGCAACTCTACCTACAGCAAAGGAGTTGGAGCTGGATGGCCTTTCTGGTCCTTTCCAATACAAGTAATTCTGTGATTCTAAGATTCTGAAGATCTGAAAACCTTCCCTCCTTCTCCCACCTTCCCATAAAGAGAACAGCCAGTGCTGACACAAGGGAAGGCAAAGACAGACGTTCACATTCTACCAAAAAGCCATCAGTGCGTCCCCTCTCCCAGGGGAAATTACCATGCCTAAGAACAGAATTCCCTACCAAAAACAGCCCAAAGGGGAATGAGAAAGGGCTTGTCAGAAGCTAGGTATCAGTGCCACAGATCAGGCAGAAAAGGAGATGCCAGGAAACGGTCTGGCATGGAAGCTGGTGGCACACAGAGAAATGCTAGAGGAGATGCAGAAAATGGTACCAGGAGACCAGAAATAGCAACTCTGTCAAATCGAGACTGGAAATACTGCAAGATAGCTTTGTCACAGGGAATAAAATTCTTGAATTATGTCTGAAGTGTTAGTCAAGATGCAGCAAAACCTTTACATTGCAAAACACCCGTATTGAGAAGTCAGGAAATTCAATCGTGAAAGTTATCGTCTGCTACGCCGAGCGCACAATAACCACACAGACCTCCAAGGAGAAATTTCAGGGCTATAAATGAAGTAAGGCCAGTTTCCCTGCCTTGACTAATCCCCTGTAGTGACCCTTCGATATCCATTTACACATTTGCTTCTTCCCTAAAATAATGCCAAACTCAACCCAGGCTCTAACAAAGAAAAAACCCAAACCGGTTTAACTTCAAAGGGCCTTTTAATCTCTCCTTTACTCTGCTGAAATAGGCTTTTTTGTGCTGAAGATTCTGCAACAATAAGAAATGAAAAAGCTCCAAGAAAATATTTTTTCCCTCCATAACGAAAATTAATATGAAGAGGAAAAAAAAAAAATCTAGTAGAGCAAAAAGGCAAGTTAATAGATGCGGCATTGGGGAAAAAAAAAATCAAGAGAAAATGCTTACTCCAGTCAGGGTGTCTTTTTGCTTTAGCACTTGTTGAACTTCAGCGCTTCAGTGGCAAGAGAAACGAACGAAAAATAAATAAAAAGGACACCCAAATGCCTTAAGAGAAAGAAAAGGAAAAAAAAAGGAAAACCACACAGCCCACAGCCACTACTTAAACAGCAAAGGAAAAGAAACAACATCACCCAAGCATCAAGAAAAACAAAACAGTGTCAAGTTTGATCAGAAAGACAAACAAATTGAGGAGCGTGGGGGCTTCAGGAACACCGACATTACAGCTGATATTGCCAGAGGTTTCAAGGCTGTGCGCCTCTTCTGCATGAAAGCAGTGCTGAGGCACCAGAAAACAAACCGAGTATTTATATTTCACAGGGCAGTGCTTCATAACCCTCACTGAAAGAAGCGATGCAGCTTCTCCCCAGTGACACGTGAGGATGCAAAGCTGCAGACTTATCTTTAAAAATCGTTTTCTGGAAACATCTAAAAGCCTTTTAGGAGTATCAAGCCAGGCTACTCGGTGCCGGTGCTTCTGATGTGACGTCTCAGCTCAGCGTGCCCCTGTGTGATAAATATGCTTTGCTGTGAGCTGCAGGACAACTCTGATGGCACTATCGTTTGCTGCTGATGGTTGACTAGAAATTGGGCATCACAGAAAAGCAGTGAAGTTACAGAGTTGGGAATGCAGCAACAAATCTATTCAACATGCCATCATTTGCTGAGGAATGGAAACGATAACACCGAATTTAAGTAATTACACTGCAAACATGATCACTCTTATTGTAGGATACAAAGATTGACATCAAGTTACATTTAAGATCGTCCCCTGCTTGTGTATCATGTTGAAGAAAAAAAATACATATTCCTGCTTAGAAAAACAGACCAAAATCCATCACAGTGCAAGGTCCTTGCTAACTCTTGCTGACCGCCCTGCAGCACGGCTGCTACAGCATCACTGTTTCTGTGGCTTTTAGGATTGGGACCAGATGTGATAGCTACAGGACTTACAGAAAAACATCCCTGAGATACAGTCGACCTCTGTTAGAAGTGATTTGACAATTGAAGCTCTGTAGAAGGACACATCAGGCACAGACTCACCTATACACACGTGGCTCTTAAGGCGCAGGACACTGGCTGCAGCACCCCACTCTGCCCCGTTCCCTTGCTTTCATTGCTCTCAATGGCTACTTCCTTGTCCTGCTTAATGCATACCTTGGAAAACCCTGACCCCAAAAACTTTAGGCTGGAGCTCTGACAAGAGATGCCAAACAAGTCCACAAAACGCCATCGAGATTTAAAATGATAGCAGTAACATCAGGTAGAAGATGCAAAATGAATCGAGAGTTCCTAGTTCAGCAAAGTCTGAGTGCCCCCTGATGGCCAACGTGCTGCTTTGCATGGCAAGCCAAGCATCCCATTAGTTATTGCCAGTTGATTATTAAATATTTCCTTTGAGAATAATTAAGAGGATGAATTACAATCTGAAAACTTTTATTTACATCTCATTAAATCTGAGTTTGTTAGAGGCAGCTTTTGACTAAAAAACAGCCTCCGGGGACCGGGCTGGATTACTTCCAGAATGCAGATTAATCAAAGTTTAAAATACTTTAAACCGTGCTTACGTCCTGACAAATTACATTTTTCATTTGCTTCTCAGCCTTTAACGCTGCTTTAATCTTCAGATTATGTGGAAGCTAGACAGAGCAAACAAGTCACGAAGAAAAATAAACGGCTTGCATCAAAACCACAGAACGATCCCGAAAGCTAGTGACCTCCTCTGGCTGCAGCCACCGCTGCAGGGCCGCCCGATGCCACACACATCGCCTTCTGCCCGCTCTTTCGGGGAGACTCAGGCCTGACTTATGATACCTTCTCCCCCCGAGCGGTTCTATAACTTAACCTGCTCTTTCCTCTCGCAAAACCTTCACTCTTCTGGCTAAAGTTGCATCTACGAGCAGCTCGAGAAAGTAAATTAGTCCAGGGGGAAAAAAAAACAACCAAGCCAGTTTGATATCTGAGGCAGAAGCAGACAATATTTGTGGGAGAAGAGGAAGCTCTGGCATGCACCTCCGAACAAAAGGGAACAAGTGGTCTTTACTCAGAGAGCAGCTTCCTATTAAGACTCACTCCTTCGTACATTATGCCTTTCATCCCCACTCAACCACAAAATGATTTTGCTGTAGGAAATACAATGGCCGAAAAAGATTTACATTGAAAGAATCTTTAATAATAAACTGTTGCAGATCTGCCTACTTCCCCATGATTTATAATACAATAAACATCGGATTCTATTAAGTCTCATGCACTGAAGACATGCACTGAAAAACCGAATATGAAAGAGCTCAATTCTTCCCATCTCCAGTACCATAATAGTGAAATGAGCATGTATAAATGTGCTAAGAGTATCTCTTTGCATCTTTTATAGCTTGTGTGTATTAATCTGTAAAGCTTATTAAGAAAGTCATTGCTATGCAAAGCAGCACCCAATCTCTTTCTCTTGCTTTTCAACAGAGCGCAGTGTTTAGCCAATAGGACCGGTCCCCTGCCCCTCATTCTGCATTCATAACATGCAACATTTGCACAATGTATCTCTCAAAGGCTGCTGAATAGAAAGCCTTAATACTCATGTAAACAACTGCAAACCAATTACTTAATGAATCAGGCCCACACATAATGAGGTGCCAGACAAAGAGCTATAAATGCATTTTTGCGCCCAAGCCTCCGCTTTAAAGTAAAATCCCTCAGCTGTAGTTTGGGCTTAACTGGCACATCATAATTATTGTCTCCAGGACATCAGAGGAAGCCATTTTTTTTATTTAGGTCCAGCAGGGTCTTTTTCGAGGTCACTCATCAGCTCAGTGACAAAACAGCAAAGAAGAATTTATAAAAAGTACCACAGCAGTACTACACAGTTATGTTTATTCTCAAGTAGTGGGTTTCGAGACCACTTGTAAAAGCAATAAAGCACGAGAAGTGACTGCACTAAGTGGAGAGCTTACATGTGAGCGGCCAAGAAATTTCGCCGCGTCCTGACCGCAAAGCAGCACCCAGATGCTGCCACTGCTCTTCCTGTGCCGCTCCTGCCGTGCTGCTCTGTGCAAAGTCCGTGTCAAGTGTCCAAAACAAGCAGTAGTCAGAAACTTCACCTTTAAAAAGGGAGGATTGCTTTCCTAGCCGTTTTGGATACGAACTTTGAGTCGCTGTAAGATTGGTTGCTTTGTTTTTTTTTGGGAGCACCATCAGTACCAGCGCACTCACTGCTGCTCAGCGCTGGAAGGCATGAAGCTACAGGGCAGAGTGATGCTAAATCTATCACAAAGGAGAATTAAAAAGAGCACTAAAGAAAGGACATCATATAAATAGCATCTGAAAAACTACTAAAGATGCCAAACAGTACCCAAGGCTTTTTTTTAAATAGCTGTCATCATTAATTATACGTATCTTACGTGCTTATTTAGGTGCTTATGCACATATTTAGCTGCTTAACAGCAATCCTGTAAGCAAGTTCCCCGGGGCTCTGTCCTTCTCTGCCTGTTATCCTGGGCTTCTGTGAATGACTGAAATTTAGCATTTCAAAATTCATCTACAAGCAAAACCCTTACACTTTCTAACATTAAGTATTATTCAGAAGCTCATCCTCAAGCAAACTAAGTTCCAGAAAATAGATTGAAAAATAAAGAGGAACAAATAAATAAGAGTTGGAGTCACGAGAGCTAATCCTAAACAAACGCACGAACGTCCTTCATCAATATATGATTACAGCTTGCCTTTATTCACTGTATTGAAGAACTGCAGGAAGGTTGTGTTCTAATTCAGAAGACAGTACTTGCAAAATCAGAATAGCCGTCTGTGTCAAAACTGGCCTCATCAATAACAATACAAAGAAACTACAGAAAGATATCAATGCTTATCAGCAGGACGAGTTAGAAATTTATCAGGATGCTTTAAAGTCCTTTCCTGAGTGCTATTAATGGCTGTCTTCAGCTGAGGAGCCACACAACAGCAGAGCCCACTTGCAAGGCTGTTCTAATAAGAGCAGATAAGAATCTAAAGCCAAGCCAATATTTCATGAGATGGCTGTGCTATATCCTATTTTCTGCTGCTGCTTGACCACTAATTTGATTGTTGCTGTTTGATTATCGTTACACGCCCATGAAGAACACGGGGAATATCTAACACAACTGCTCAGGGACCCAAAGCAAAGCACTGCAGCATTAAAAAAGTGTTTGTTTTTTTTTTTGTTGTTTGAGTTTAAAATTAAATAGACAGCATCCTTTAGGTAACTACAAGGCCATCGATTAAACGCGTTCAGTGTGAAAGCAAGACAGACATGCTGTAAATAGCCCAGTATCAAAAATAACAGGGGAAAAAACCACCAGTCTGCAGACTGTGAAAAGCATGATCCAGTTACAACTAGTTTACATCTCAGCTACACGGAGAAGAAACCCATCACTTTATTTCTTGAAGACTTTATGTTTTCTGTCTGCCCTTTTCCTGACAACTTCTATTGTCTGGCCTCTGAGTAGCCCTACTGAGAGCAGCTGTACACGCTAATTTGTGGTTCACTGAGATGTCAATTGAGTCTTAAAATGAGAAAACAACAGCTGCAAAACAATACTTGGCTTTGGTGCAAATATTTTCTAAGGTGTACCAGAGTTGAAGTTGTTTCATTAGATAAACATAAATACAAGCCTTAACCTCAGATCAAGTAAAAATCATCAGAGATTCAGTCACATTCTGCAGGCATTTCTCATTCCACTGAAACATTTCAAATGTTAAATCCTTTAATAACTTTACCTTGAGAGGTCACCGCTTCTTTCACTGGATGAACTGCTTTCGGAGCACATTTCTTGCCTTTCTTTTGCTTCGGAACCATTATTTCCAACACCACAACCTGCAAAGTGAAAAACACAAAGTATAAATTTTCAAACATTAAATCTGAAGACATCACAGCTGTGTGTCACTTCAGTGATCTGATGATGGTTTCTCGTGAACTCAGAAACCTTTGTGTGTTTTGATCTGTTTTAGAACAAAAGAGCAAACGCTGGGTTTAAGAACTGTATTGCATCACACATCAACTTTAAGCAAAACTTCAAGGATTTACTCTTTTTCTTCATTTTCTTTCTAATCCTCAAGTTCTAATTTACTTACCTTAATCAGGAGGAAGAGTTACTTTCATTCTCCTTCCCCTTAAATACATTAGTACACATTAGCATCTCTGAACACTATGATACATCAGTATTTTTAACCTTTCCTTTTCAAATACAGAGCTGCATTTGGGAGACACAAATCTTAGATTCTTCTATGACTCAACAGCCAACTTAACAATCAGCCATTTCCAAACCTTTTATCCAGACTTTCCTTTACTTCTTCCCCATTCTGTGCATCTCATTTTCTATTCTGTACAGATTGATTTAAGAAAGTAAATAGATAAAATTCTTTCACTGGAATGGCACAATTGCTCATGTTTGTGTTTGTTTCCGTGGACTATGATGCTTAAGTACAAATCCCACTATACAAGGCTACTTTGCACTACAAATTACAATTGGGACACCACAAGACCTCTATATACATGTATCTATACAGATGTGACTGAAAGTCTAAGCAAGCCCTGACCATGGAGGATTTCCAGGATGCAAGACTGGCTGTAGCTCAAAGCTGCAGACTGGGCGACGTAGGCATGCACTGAGAAACCACTCATCATAAAGGAACTAATATTTGTGCGTCTTTGCACATGACATCAAGAAAGTAAAAACTGTAATAAAGGAATTTAAGTCAGTGTAATCGGTTCAAAACTCCTAGAAATTGCTTTTTACTCCAACACTGCTCTTCAGGAGGACAATGTGGGCTACTACCAGAGTGGTTTCAGTACTACAGGGATCCCATCAGGCTTGCACCTCCCCTACATCAAATGGGAGCACAACCTACTTGTCCTTCACCTTTGAGACCCTCTGGAGCTTAGCTTTGCCCTATCTGTCAATTATAAAACAATACTGGGCTATCAATCCCCACTTCTGCGTTAGTTATGTCAGACTTACAGCCAATTAGTCAAACTGTTCCTCTCGAGCCTCTATGAATCTGCTTTTACACCCACATCAATGGGGAATCCTTCCAAGCCCTCAGAAGCTCACCATCTCACCTTTAAAACTGAGCTTGGTATTTTGTCTGGGTTGCAATACCTATAAAGCATCCAAGGAGGTTTAAACACTCGGAGCACTGTGCTCTTGCCTCATCTCCACACCTCAACATCATGCCCACATTGTAAGGCAGTGGAAGAGACTGCCAAGTGGAAAGAAGTATTGCTTAATGATTTCCTACAGCCAGTTCAAATGGTGAGAAAGCACGAGGGCCGCTCTGAAAATAATGCCTCCTATGTTATGATGTTGGTGGCACGGCAGTAGAGATTAAACCTTCCCACCAATGCCCCATTGCATGTTGTTGCCGTGTGACAGATGGCAGCAGAGGGGCAGCCTGACAGAGCGGCGTCCGGCATGGAAGTGCAGACGAAGCCAAGCTGTGTCATTGAATTCCACCATGCAGACAAAAAATGGCACGACTGAAATTCATTGCTTGCTGAACACTGACGGAGACCAAACAGTAGATGTGAGCACAGGGAGGTGATGGGTGGCGCATTTCAGCAGTGGTGACAGTGATGTGAAAGACAAGCCACGGTCTGGATGGCAGCATGCAGGCTCCTGCACATTACTGGCAAATATGCACCGCTAATGGCAGTGACTGTTGAAAAACTGTGTTGTGTAGCCATGAATTTGCATTATCAAACAGTCTTGCTGCGCCCTTTGTAGCTGTTGTAGCTTCCACATAAATAAATAGGAGGCATTACTTTCAGAGCAACCAATATATTTTGGAGCTCCCCAGCTCCATGTTAAGCATGTGGCATTTTGAGTATTCACTCTACAGCTGGCCAGTGCCTACTGCACAGACACAACTGAAAAAGCATGATAAAACAGCCTTTAAGCTTAAACTGGGATGTTAATAATGAAAAGTAAGTTGTTAATCCAGCCATTCGAGCAATTCTGCAAAAGAAGGGAAGCTGCTTTGCCACAGATGACACAGCTCTCCTCACATCTTTTTCCCCAGCGTATTCTTCCTTCCACTCAGAATTAGCAAAGGATCTGAGATACCACTATTAATTAAAAACACTCCACACTTTTCAACTTAGAATTAATTGTGCAGTCTGTATGGGTCAAAGCAGCTTTCATGTCAGCTTTTACAATTTTGTTCCAAACAAAATGGGTGTACTTTTCTTCATTAGCCACCAGTTCCAGGAAAAACTGCCATGGTTGCATAATGAACCACTATTGTTTTGTTCTGCTGAACAGCTGAAATGATCTTTGACCCAGAACATACTGTAGCAGAGCAGAACCAGGAAGAGGATATTTTCTCCATGCACTGCCCTATGGCCAAGGTTCCAGTGTTTATCAATGTACAGCCAAACATCTTTGTGACAAGAAAGTGATGCGATGTAACCTTCTGCAAAGAAAGAGAAGAAAGCTCCTGGTTATGTACTCACAGCATTCGTACCTTGCTAACTGTGTTACCTGAGAAAGAAGCTCCTACTTTTTGGCCATCAAAACCAACATCTCTGTTACACTTGGAGCCCTTAACTGCAGCAAGAGTCCCAGGAGAAGTGGAAAAAAACTCATCTATAGATATCAAGTGCTGTCATTACCAGCAACGCCCAAGAGCTTGACTTGGCATGCCCAGAAAGGAGAATGGTGCAAGCAATTCCCAGAGCTGCTGGATTTCCAGATGGGAGCTGGGGAAACAGGAAGTTTACTGCCAATGCCGTTTGTGAGGAAACCTCAAATCTGTGACCTGAGCAAGTAAGCAAGCAGTAGGTGTTGCTCTGTAGGGAGGGGAAGAAGGGCAACTGGAATGCCAATTAAAAGCTATCAACAGCAATTAATCATTGTTTCCAATAACAATCAATAATCACATATGTAAACACGCGTAGCTGGAGGGCAAATGAAGCCAGTGCCTTTGCAAGCTCAACTCAGACGTGGATCTGCATCTCCCTCGTACACAAGTGAGTATTCCACAAAAAAGGAACTTTGCCTTTTCTGTGTACTTTTCGCAACAATAAAATAGTTAGCAGCTTGGGTATTTCAGCTGTCACTAGACTTCAAAGTTAATAATGCCTTGAAAGGAATATTATCAGGATCAGCTGAGCCTGCAAGCTGTGTAGTTTTAGTTACCTTGGCAATATTTACTGCATTCACATTCAGGAGTGCTGCTCAGTCCAGGCTACCACGCTGCTAGCTGTGGCACGAAAATAGGCAACTAACAATAGCTCCTGCCCAGAGGAACTTCAAATCTGAACAGCCTCCTCCACCACATTAACACTAATTACGGCACTTGCTGATCATCCACAAAGAGCCATCTGGGATTAAACACAGGATATCAGCTGCCTTGCCACTGCCAGAACACAAACAGCCACTGTGCAAACCTCTGCCTTGGGACCGGAGGCTTGAGTGATCCCTACACACAGCTTTTATAACGTGCTGATTTCCCCTGCGATACAGCAGAAAACTTGCTTACAGGGAGAGGATAAAGGCTACCTGCGAATCTGATAGAAGGATGTGCTCTTCTGATAAAAGGAGGTGATAGGAGGATGAGCAAACAGATGAAAAAAGATCTCCAAATTAAGAGCAGAACTCTGCAGTGGCCAGTAGCCAGAAGGAGGTCAAATATCAACAAATATTGCCCCTGCTTTCCTTTGAAAAAAGAAAGCATAAAACACTGTCAGCATCACAATATACCAATGCATGATGCTCCCCTCTCAAGAGGGTACACATCTGATGACCAGAGGGCTCATGGAATCCCGATGGAGCAAGCTGGCCCAGTGAGAGCACTTCCGATAGCTGCTGCCTCCGCTTGAAGACTGAACAAAGCTTTGCACTCAGAATTCACAACTGAAAGATGTCTTCCTCAAACTTACTCAAGTTGAGCAATGCAAAATATCACCTACTGGAGAACGTAATCCAAACTAATTTAAGCAAAACATACAATTTCACGCTGTGCTGAGGTACTTCTGTCAAACCAATAGTGATTAATCACGTATAGATGAACTTTTTTTCTTTTTGGCAACAGCAGCTTGTAATAAGATTGATATCAAATGAAGCAAAACGTTGGGTAGACTTAATAACGCCTTATTAGCACACTTCAAGTGGAAACTCAGGACCCTTTCAAGTCCAGCTCAAAGAAGGACCTCACTGGGAAAGATGTGCAGGCATGGAAAAAGTGTTGGCAGGATTATTGGCTCATTAAAGGTGACCTAAAAAGGAAAACAGAATTGGTTTTGTGCCCTTTCATGTTTCCCTATGATACGTGAGAAGGACCTTTTTATTGTATTATACACACATACACACGTTTTTAATACTATTATTATTCTTTGGAGTGTTTTTCCTCCTTATGTCTACATTAGAGATTTTTCCACCTGGAGTGGAAATGGAACATGACATCTGTGAAAGCGAAGCCTGATGAGCAGAGAAGCAATGCCATTTTTATTCCAATACTTTACAGCTTTGCTGTCTATTTAAATCGAAGACATACATGAAGGATAGGAAGAGAATCTATTTTTGTTGAAGATTTAACAAACCTACCCCTTCACTAAAACCTGCAGTTTCCTACTCGTGAGACATTTAAACTCTCATCTGCAAAACCAAAAATAATGCATTTTATCATTTTTCATCTCCCATCATTTGCCTACCTGAGGAACAGGTAAAAGGGCAACCATTTCTTTTACGTGTCTTCCCGAGAGAAAAAAGTAAGCATCCAACAAGAGAAGCAGAATGAGTCCATATACACTCCTCTACCCCCACATAACTTCAGCAGCAGTGAGGTCACCATTAATAAAATGTGGATGAGATCAACAGCATTTCTTAGGCTGAGAGGCACCTTGCACAGCACAAAACTCTCTCTGAAGTCCCTTAGTACAACACGGCTCTGCAAGGTGAAGAAGGGGCTCTATGGAGGAAATCACCTTGAAGTATGAGCTGGATCAATCTTGTGCCCTGAGCTAACTTGCAGGCTTGGAAAAAGAATAAATTTTTATTGCCACAAATAGGAGTATTTACAGAATGTTAAAGTATTTGGTTCCTTTTTTTTCCCCCCTCCCTGTAACAGAAGAAAAAAGAATAAACCAGAACTATAGAAGCACCCGTCAATTCCCATTGGGAAAGGCTCTCATCTCTCACATTGAAGTCCATCAAAACCTCAGTGCTTCCAATGCTTAAATCAAAACTTACAGCCCTTAAGGGATACAGTAGGCACTGAAAAAAAAAAAAAAAAAAAAAAAGAGTTTATATCCATTACATATGGAAAATAATTGTATAACAAAATGGTTGTGTGTAGCAGTCCACCTAAAGACAAAAAACCAAACCACCTCACAAGTCATTGGAGCCCCAAAGGCAGGGCTGAACAGTTTCAGTGCTGCAGGGCTTGTAATGGTGAGCACAAGGCAGGGAGTGACAGGCAGGGAGAGTGAGGAGCCAGGAAAGAACAAGAAGCCTGCAGAAGATGATGGGCTGAAGATGAATCGCAGCTGAAAGGAGCAACTTTGCTTTCAACTGAGATATGAAAAGCCTCACTCCCAGAGACGGCAGAACGCTGGCCAAAAAAGTAGCTCATAAAGCAGATTTGAGAAGAAAGCATTTTTAACTTAAGTTACCATTTGCAGCATTCAGGCTAGGAGGAGTTTCTCAGCATTTTTACAACTAGGAAATATTGGTACTTGCACGTCTATTCAGTGAGAAGCTCTGGGAGAGAATGTACACTGTGGTTCAGCTTTGGACCAGCTGCAGCCCAGTCCAAGAGCCAGGTTCTCAGGAGGAACTGCCAGTATGCAAAAGCTGCTGGGCTTCCTGGCTCAAAACAGCCATGCTACATCCTGAATCTGGCATGGGGAGAAGCAAGCCAGAAGCCTGGGCAGCTACGCACATCCAAATCGAAGCCTGTGTTCTCACTTAAAAAAAAGAGATCTGTGCTGGCATTAGAGGAAGCCGCCATTCCTCACATCCTTCTTGCTGGTGATGTCTGCAGATGATGGACTTTAAATCACAATCCTCTTAAATCACAGACAAAAATCAGAACAATCCCAAACTCTGCCAAATCTTGGATGAATTTTCAATTTATTTCAGGAGAACCATTTAAATGGCTTGTGCGCTTTTAATTCACCTAAAAAAAAATAATAATCATCACAGCTCACGTTTTACAATTACATTGCCATGTGCAACTGGAGGACATTTTAAGCAGCAAGAAAAACGAAAGCATTCCACTCTCAAAGCCTCAGAGAAAAAAAAAATATTCTAAGTTTTATGTGGCTAACATAGTAATATTATTGCCGCAGTATAATTCAGGGATACAAGAAGCACGTTTTTATATTTCAGCTGCAAATTAGGCTCAAAAAGCTGCAGAGGAAAACCTCCATAGAGAAATGAATTGCCCTCCGAAAGACAGGCTATTTTTAAGTCGTAAAACAGCAGAAAGGCAACAGCGAGAGCTGTATAAACAGATGCCCTCGCACCTTTCTGTCGGAGTACACACCTGCATAAATAAACAGTTAGCCAAACATGCCCATTTATAACGAAACAGCCCACGACTTTGCAAAAATCAGGCAAAAGCAAATTGAGACTTATTGCAAAAAGCTCTGCCCGGAATACTAACGCGTTATTGATACTTCACAAGCTAAGAATCCTAAGCGAGCCCAACGCATCTGCTGCGGGGAGATCTGAACACGGCTTGATAAAACCTTATTGCTAAAAATTTGGTGTTATCAGGCAGCTTTTGTAACAGAGGCAAAAGCACAGCTTCCTGTCTAGCGGGATTTTTCCTCGCGCTTATTCTAATGATACACATTCAATTAGGAGAGAAAAGAAAAGAATCAAATCAGAAACATCTGTAGTTTGCCATATAATTACTGGATCTTCCCCACGGAGACTGACCTTCGTAACACCGACACGAGGACCTGAAAGGCTAAATGACGGGATATTCGCGCGGTTTCAACGTGTAACATGATTACAAGGAATTAAATAGGCACTGTTATTTCCCATCTTGGTTTACGTGAAGATGAGTGCGTACTTTCTGATCCCGTGTTTCATCTCTGTGCTCGGTGTGTAGGAGCTGAATTTACTCACTATTAGCGGACCCGAGCCCCTGAAAACACCGTGTTTTGATTATATAATAAAGTTGAATACCACATTTGAGGTTAATATGCAGCCATTACTTTTACCTGTAATAGGAATCTTTCCTACCACACTTTCTTCCTGGCTCTCATCTTCACACCAGCTTGTGACTTCTGTATGGGAACACACCATAATGAAACCCATTTCAAAGTGGCTGCGATCAGACTGGTTTGTTTTCTTTTAAGCCCTACTCCCTTTAATTTCTCACTTTTGTTATCTCTTATTTATTGATCTAAACTATCCATTACCGTTCTTAAAAGAGGCGCCTACTGTGAACTTTACTCGAATGCGGAGCTGCTGCATCTCTGTAGCTCCCAGAGAAAAGGAAAAGCTAACCAAATGTCTGAAATAATTTAAGACCCAATGGATTTCAGAAACAAACAGCCAACAGTAACTCTGCGATCTTGTCCAGCAGCCCGACAGCCGCAGCATAGATCATACCCACCGCTGAAAATTAGTTTAAATCAAAGTCTCAGTCTCCTCCGTGGATAAAAGTGGCGTGGATTTAGGGGGCCTAAATCAGTTTGTTTACATGTGCTGTGTGAAGAGCGTTGCAACCTAATTGCCTGTCTCTTCTGGACTTTGATGTGAGGGATGCTCTGAGAGCAGGCTGAGCAAGTTCTTGTCGCCAGTTACTACACAGCGCTAATACGTTACTTCCTTATCTGAAGAAATTAACTGGATTTTCACAAACATCCACCTTTTAAGAATGGCACTGCACACACCTCTCTTACCACCAGCCCTTTCGCTGTGGAAAATCTGTTCTGCATTCTGGCTTCACAAAAAGCAAAACAAAACAAACACAGCTAAGATATCACACCATTTCTAAACAGCAGGCATTTTCAAAATATACCTATGCATATAGAACCCGCTTTAACAACTACCACAAGGCTTGATTTTCTATCTCAATTGAGAAAACTAGTCCCTGTAGGTAGCACTCACATTAAGAAGTAACAAGAATGACCAAAATGCAGAGAAGTTTAAGGCAATCACCAGAAGCTCATTACAAATATTAAGTCCCTGGCAGATTCTGATGGAAAACACACTTGTATCTCACAGCAGGGCACGGTGGCAGCTCAGAGCACACAGGCAGAGCTTTTAGCACTTGTTACCTTGCTTTCCCATGCTGTCGAGCCACGGAACATGTTTTGCCTGCTCCATTTCCCTGCCGTCATTTGGGATCGATGGCAAGCTGTAAGATGATTCATTACTCTGAACAGATGACCCATCTCCACACTGTTCTGCAAGGACCTCTCTCAGCAGCAGTGGAGCCTGAAGCATTAAAAAATAAAAACCACCACAGCCCTATTATTCCGAGTCTCGAGAGGCAGCGGTTTCCAATGTACATTTAGGCTCATCTACACTTCACAGAGCAATCCGCTTGCAGGGTATTTCTGCTAGATGCTGAATTACCTCTGGGTTAAACCACTGCTCGCGTGGGTACTGCGTTCTGCCTTCAAGTAACACAAACCTGGAATTTTTCTTTTAATCTCTAGGTTTTCTGGAAGCTGTGTTCTGTGCCTCACGTACCCTCCGTAAGCACAAGAGACTGAATAAAAAGTTTCCCTTTTTCCATTTCGGGTACAGCAGTAAGGCAAGTTAGCATGCATTGCCAGCAACAGCTGCAACAAAAACACCAGCGAGGTCAATGAATCTGACACCAGAAAATCCAATCTGACACCAGCTTCTGATGGACTTGACTCAGATTTTAACCTGTACTGTCACAGCATATTCCTCAAGTTCAGTCTCTCCTGTCAGGGTGCAAATCCTTGCAGCTCCAGCCTGGCCTCTGTTAATTAAACATCCCTTTTGATGTCCTCAAAAAATTAAGCTGAAAGTAGATGCTTTTATAGGGAGCTGAAATGAACTGAGTGTAATTATGGCCAAGTTATAAAGCTTTGGGGGCACTTTTTTTTTTTTTGTCTTTGTTACTTATAGGGCATCCTTTTGTTTTCCTTCTGTACCACAAAGCATGGACCAGATTCTTTAAATCTACAAGCTTTTTGATCTTATTACCTGTTTAATAAATGAGCCAGCCTTCAGCAACATAGGCCAACATCTCAGAGATAATCCCAACTACTTTAACTTCATCTACCTGCACTTATCTGAGAAACTGGAGAGGCTTTGAGACCAAAACCAAGTGGGGCTCATAAGAAAGGTTTTCCTTCCAGCATCCACCCCCTCCTCATTAAGCCCATGTTTATTTGGGAGCACATCATGGCAACTTTTCAATCTCAACTTGCACTGCTGCCATTCTGTGCTTGGAAATCAGGTGTTTCAATGTGGAAAATGCATCATGGGATTCCATTTAACTGAACAGATTTTCTTAAATGGAAAAGTAGATGTTGAAGGCATATGTGTGGGCCACAGTAATGTGTAGCAGTAAGCAGATCATTACTATATATTTACCCATAAAGCTTGTGTTACTAAGCTTTGACTTAGAACAAGTCTGTGTAGAAGATTTTAAATGTATTATACATTTATCTGCCATCAGCAGGTATTTTTCTAATATTATTAAAACAAAAACATTCAAGAAATAGATTGGACTGCTTTGCTAATGTCTCAGGAGAAACTAGAGGGCAGAAAAGTTTGGCAAATATTTTTGCACTGGTGTTATTTCATATTTTATATACACATGTATGTATGCGTACATGTTTTTCTTTCCCTGTAAAGGGAATGCATCTCAGGATTACTTGGTTCTTCAGTGACCCACTTCTCTGGAAATGAGCCCCTCATTCCTTTTGCATAGATGTAAAGAAGAAAACCTCCAACAAAAATTGAAGTTAGTTTATAAATGCCCAGTTAGAGTCTAAAAAGGACACACGTGCTGCTATCTGTAAAATGCTCAGCAGATTTAGCATACCAAACATAATTCTGTTTCTTTAAAAAGAAAAAACCCACTATCATTCATGATAAAAAGCTATTAAGCCACAGAGAAAGGCAGATGATATAAGCCTCCCGATAAATTTGCACCGTGACAAAAGGCGTTAGCTTCTTAAATCAGCAACAGGCCCAAAGGGTGGAAAAGATGCTGCAAGGATCTTCGTGGGCTTCTTGTTCCATGGGGAAAAGCCCTCAGACACACAGAAAATCTAGGTTCTCTCCACAGACACTTCTAGCCATCTCAAAGACGGATTAATGAGCACTACTCACTCATCCTCCCTGAGTACCCAGGTACTGGGCAGCATTCAGAGGCACAGGGCCTGCTTCACTTTAACTGCATGTGCAATTTAGTCCCTTGGTGTCAGTTATTCAGATATTCATACATGTACATTTCTATAGATATACACAGATGCACAGGTGTATGCATCTATGTTTATTTATTGCTCTCTACAACTTGAAAGGAGGCTGTGTGAGGTGGGGTCGGCCTCTGCTGGCAGGGAACGGCCATAGGACGAGAGGGGACGGCCTCACGTTGTGCCAGGGGAGGTTCGGGTTGGCTGCTAGGAACAATTCCTTCTCCAGAAGTGATTCTGCACTGACACAGCTGCCCAGGGAGCGGTGGTGTCACCTGGAAGAGTCCCAGAGCCATGAGGATGTGGCACTGAGGGACGTGGTTATTAGGCATGGTGGGGGTCAGCTGGGGTTGGACTGGATGATCTCAGTAGAATTATTATTGCTGGAGAAGACTAAGACTTACCAAACACACTGGGTACACTGGAAAGCCTCAGGACACATCATCACAGAGGCTCCCCACACCCCCAAAACTGACCTGGCTTCCTGGTGTCTCCTCGCCCGAATCCAGCGTGCTGTGTGACACTGCAGCCAGCTCCTCAGTACACAGGTGCTCATGCTCCTCCAGGAAGGCAGCGTGGCTCTTCAGCGAGGCCTGCAGTGTGGCCACATCCCACCCCTCACCTGGCTTGGCTCTGGGGAGCTGACAGAGGACAGCTGCCTCACTGGCCTCCACATCTTCTTTCAGACTGCCATCCTGGCTGCAGGAGCTGCAAAATAAAGCAGGTGAGAAGTTTATTTCATGCCCAAAGAGACAGCCAGAATAGGTATGGAGGTCAAGTCCACCTGCAGCCACTTCCTCAGTTGTCCCTTAAAATCCTCCAACAATTAGGTCTTTATGGGAACCCTACCTTAAGGGGTCTGAAATTTAATTTTAAACAGGACTACAAAGCCCTTCCCAGCTTGTGCAATGAAGTGAACAGTGCCACAGAGTGACAGCCAGGGTAACCTGGTCCTCCTTTTGTTAATGGGGGAGGTAGGTGACTTTTTTGCTCTTTTACCTCAAATATATTGTTTTCCCAGTTGTTACTCTGTACCCTGGCAAAGCATTATTAGCCTCTAAGCGGATGCTCTCCCTCCTGGAAATAAGAATTTACTGCATACACAGAGAGCAGGGCTGCAAAAAGTGATAAATTTAGGAACCAGCATTTGTCTGGCAGCACCTAGCATCAACATCACTGCAAATCCCAATTTAGAGAAACAAACAAATGGAAAATAAACCATCAACAAAGCAACCCACAGACGTCTTTGTTTGTTAAGACTGAAGTCTTTTCCACACATACTCCCCGTTCCCAGCTGAGGAGCCAGGCAACTCTTATATCCCCAGCCTTTTCTATCCAGCTGTTGGGAAATGGAATATTTCAAAGTCAAACAGAATATGCAGAAAAACCCTGAATGCCTCAGAAAAATGGTTAGTGAAATGATGCTGTAAATCACAAGGAGGTTCAAATGGTTGCAAACAGTAAGAGAGGAATAAGCATCTGGCTTTTTTTTATTTGTATGTACTATACAGAGCACATGAGCAAAGGAGGCTGAGAAAGGCATGTTACATTTTCCTACAACGTGCTGTTTTCCTTTGATGATCAAACATCAGCTTCTTTATTCCTGCATTCCCTGCAGCATTTCCACATCAGCTGCTCAGGACATCAGCACAGTGGAGCTGGACCTGACGCTGAGCTCTGCAGCAGGGAGAACCAAAGCCCTGGGAACAGGAGTGCTCCATAGCAGGACAGAACAGGGCCTGAGAGAGTTTTTCCTGAACATGCACCTGCACAACGACCCAAGTGCAGACTCCAGCAGTGAAGCAAAGCAGACTGAGCCTTTCCAAGGGTAGATCTGCCCGCTTTGTGTGGCAGTTTCCAGCCCAGGTCTCCAGCAGCCCCGAGGAGCCCGGCTGCACCCAGGTTTTTGTGCAAAAGCCAACAGCTACACAGCCAGCCTCATTTTACCAACTAAAAGCTCTGCATGATTTTGTAATTACATTAAGATACAGCAGAAGTTTTGCTTTCTATCAGCCTGTTCAACGAGAGCCAACAATTAAGCGAGAGCCACTCTGCATTGAGTGGAGTTTCCTAGACATCTGATCAGCTAAACAATGCCAGGGAGATCGCATACACAGTTAAACAGTGCTTTTTCTTCCCCCAAAGTCTTACAAAACCTGTATTTCAGCGGCCGGCTCATTTCCTATTGTTTCCCTCCCCCTGGGTGGTCTTTCCAGGGTGCCACTCGAGAGGGATACAATAATAAAAAGGGAAGGGGAAGGAAGGGACACCAGCATAAAGAAAAACAAAATGTATGACAATCTGCAGCAGGCTACGGATCAGAGGTCAGCAAACAAGAGGTCCTTCTCTTTTACAGGTTGCTTCCTGGAAACAGTCTGATTAAGCTGACAGCTTGAATTATGTGTTACATTTTGTAATGCACAATCCATCTGTGCTAAGTCCTCTTCAATGCAGCTGAAGCAGCACAGGCATAAGCTCTGCCTTTTTCCACCCCTTCAACACCGGCCTTAAAATAGTCATCATCTTTCTGCACGCTAATTCTCAGAGACCCTTTCCCCATCCATTTTTAAGCCCTGGAATAAAGGGCAGGGTACCCTGAGGAATGCCAAAAGGACAGAGCCCACCGGAGGGCTGAGGCAAAAGGCACGCAGCCCTGCAGGACTGACATCCATCGAGCTCTGCAGATGCAGCACAGGCTGTGGAGATGCCCCACGGCACAAACGGGCTTTGGTTCAGCCACCATTTTTAATAACTGTGATAGCAAAGTGGCATCACCCCACCAGGAGCTGTCAGCGAGCCTCGCAGCCTGCACGGAGTGACCTTTCCCTGCAGCATCGCCTCTCTGGTTAGCAACCTGACAGTGTTATCAGGATTAGTGCTCCTCCAGCTGCTAAAGGCAGGCTGAAACTCAGTTTAAAAAAAAAAGAAAGCCTTGCCCTGTGGTAAAATACAACATACAAACACTTCCCAAGGGAAAAAATAAAAACCAACTTCTTTTCCTTAAGCCTCAAAAAAAGACCTTGTTACAATGATGTCTCTGAAGTAAGGCACTTTCCCCAAAAACCTGGAACTCCCTGATACGCAGCACAGATCTTGTTTGTTGCTGAGTGAGCTACAACATCCAAACTGCATCCATAGCAGTATATGTAAACGAAGCCCACACTCTAATTACTTGCAAACTTCTCCTCAAGACTCCCAGCTCATGAATTACTTTGCAAGACTCAGGCACACGCACTGAATTTCAAGTGCATTGGAACGAAGGACTTTGAAAGAACTTGTTACCAACTCAGCAACAGAGAGGCTATGTATCGCTCCTCGGCATCTTTCATGCCTGCCATTTCTGAAACTTTATCTGCATTTCAGTTTCCCATTGAAACAAATTTAAATTTGGATCTCTTCTGCAGATACACATAGCAGTGGAGATCACACTTTCATGGCCTTGAGAAACTAAGGTATTCAGCTTAGCATGATGTGAGAAGAGATACTCCCCATTCTGGTTTTAGTTATGCTCCAGAGATAAAGCGAACATTAAAACCTTTCTCATAATTTAGCTGGCTTCAGGAGCACTGCACAGTATTTTTGTCAGCTCCTGAACAGCTAGGCATCACTAGCATCTACAGGGAGAGAACTAAAGGTTACATTACCACCACTCAGCTATGACTTCTCCAGCAAAGACAAGTACCCTGTGCAACTTCCCTGCAAAATGTTATGATTAACAGGTGTCACACAAAAGAAAAACTGTGTGTAAGCTATTTAGATGTAAATGAGATGATGTTTCCATAGCAAGCAGCCTGATGCAAATGTGAAATGATAAAGTTGCACAAGTGTATATTGGTGGCCATTAGTAGCTGCTCAACTAGCATCTCTTAAAACAGGGACTGGCAGTGAGATCGGTACCCACCAATAGGTGAACACAAATATAGGAAGAAGAGATGCAAGGACGTACCCGTCAGGCACCGAGCTGCCCAAGGGCTCATCCTCTGCTGCACTGCAGCTGGGTGGCTGCAAAGAGGAGTTCTCTGCTGGGTGGGTGCTGCTGCTGCTGCTGCTGGCCTGGCTGGCTGCCTGCTGGGTGTTCAGGTTACATCGGGGTCCTGGAGAAACAAGTAATAACAAAATTACTCCCGGAACATCAGCAGAATCTGTATACCGCGATGTATGAAATTAAGACAGGATGAGCTACTCGGTGCACTCTCTCACCTCAAAGGTGTGAGCAAGCATCCCTCCACCTGGGATTGCATTGGGCTTCCCATGCCCCCCCCCAACATTCCGTGTCCTTCTGCACTTCCCTCGCAAGGGGGAGTTCAGGCAGACCCCAGCCATGCTCCCAAGCTTGGGTTTGCAACCAGAGCTCAGGACCAGCCAAAACGAACCCTGCCGTGAAAAATCACTACCCCAAAATTATCTCCTACCTCCCCAAATTGCCTTGGAAGAAGCAACGAAACAGACAAGCCTAAAAAGGTGGTTGTTGTTGTTTTTTATGATAAAGCTTCAGAAAACTTTCCCTGTGTTGGAGAGAAAGGGTGGGAGATAGAGGGAGGGGAAATACACCCAGAGAGTCCACACATTTCCTAAATCTTGCAGAAGAAACACACACTTCAGTGGTTTTTAAAGTCAGCACATTAGTTACCTTCTCTAAAGGAGAAGAGTACAGACACTAACTGTACCTAATAACAACATTTTCTCCTTAAATGACAAAAATTAAGTGGACCAACTATTGCAGTAATAAATAAGCACTGCCACAGAAATCCCCAGTTTTCCATAAAAGATGCCCATGGGTTTGAACGAAACAATATTCACAGCTACTGGTACTGCATCCAACACTTCAGCCCAACTCAGGCATGGGTTCCCTGAGGCCCCAGTTCTTGATGGCTGTGACAAGTGCAGCTTATGCCAGGACCTTCCAGCCCTGCACAAAGCCTGACAGCGGTGACAAGGGACAGCATCAGATGAAAGAAAACATCGGGAGAGAAGTTATTTAGGAATGGATAAAGAAATGGAAAAATAATAATAATAAAGAAAAAAATTAAGAAAGGATGCCAGAAAAAAATAAATCTACCAGAGATCATCTGGTGCAGATGCCAGCCATTGACTATAAAGAAAACCATGATCATTACAGGATAGAAGTCCCTTCATGTTAGGGTTGCCACTGGTTTCCATTAGGAAAAGCTCATTTTTAGTATTTCCTATGTAGCTTGGAAAACTTAAAAGCTAGAAATTGCTGTATCAACTGGCAGGGCAGGGGAAGATATTCCTGCTAGGTCTTAAACAGAAAAAAGAAACAAAGGAAGAAACAGTTACTTAGAGACAAATCTTTGTCAGTGTGATTTGAAGAACAAGTCTGTTAGCTTACTTGAAAGTAAAGAAGGAGAGAAAACATTTTGCCATGATAGCAAAAGAAAAGGTGAGATGGTAGGAAGCAGCCTTTAAGTGCAGCCTTCCATTCCCATACATGTGCAACCCAGCTGGAAGACAAGCATCACATCCCTCAGGAAAGCAGGAACAAGTCAGAACAAACAGTAGTTAATCTAGCCTCCTACATGGAAGTGCTGATTCTTGGTCTACATTTGCAAATCCAATTTTCAGAAGTGAACTGTTCTGAATAAGCATTTGAAGAGTGAAATCGATTCAAAATAGAAGTTACCTATTTTGCCAGTAAAGTAAGCTGACATTAAACCTCTTAAAAACAGGCTCAATCAACTTCGAGACAATTGCAGGCACAGCAGTCTTCACTTTCCTTCAGCTCTCAAATGAGACTTGGCCAAACCTCACATCAACTAGAAGAGCAGTGTGCCTTGGATGAATGAGGGACAAAGCTCTATTTTACAGAATAGTCATCCAGCAGGGCAGAGAATACTCAGCAGGACCTCTCTCAAATTTGGGGTCCATCTTAAGTAGGCTGCCAGGACAAGGCAGCCTTGTAGGAGGCACTGCAGGACTGGCACCAGTGCAAAAGGCCCAGGTTCAGCTCTCGCTGCCAGTTTTTGCTTTGCACATCCCCATCCTCCTCCTCCTCTCCCCCACTTTGGTCTGCTCAGGCTGAAAAGCAAAAACCTAAGACCTTGAAGATGGAGCATGGGATACTCAGCAGGTATTCTGCTGTTGGGGGAGAGCAAAGAGAGCAGGAGCCTCAAAACACCCCAGCTGAGGAATGAAAATCCAGCAGCTTTCATCCCCAGTGAGCCTTTGATGAAAAGCCTAGGAGGAAACAGCCAAGAAAAAAAAAAAAAGGAGAAAAAGAACGAAAAAAGAAAACAAATGAGAATTCTACTGTTCTTCAACTGAAGTGTAAGAGTTGAAGGAAAAAGAAAAAACCAACAAAAAAACAACAGCTGTGTGCATGTGTGTGTTTAGGGAGAGCGTGTTTGGGGTGACTGTGCTGCAGCACAGCGGAGCAGAAGTCCCACATACCAGAGACGCTGGGCTCAGAGGCAGATGCCAAGAGAACAGGCTGCTCACAGACTTCTTTGGCACTTGCTACCAGGTGTTCGTGGGTCACCACCTCGTCCACTGATGTGTCACTCACTAAGTCAGCAGTCCTGCTCTGCACACTTCCTCCATCAGGTAACGTTGAGCAGGGTGCAGTGGAATTTTTCTGTTCTGTAAAATTCAGAAGACTGCTGTGCAAGCTGCTGTCTTGGATGGGCATCTTCTCCCCCGTGGGGATACGTGACTTGCCACCTTGCTCATCAGGCTTATTGGCATGCTGCACGTCACCACCAGCTTGCATGAGATGCCCATCTGTCTCATCATCCTGCAAGGCTGTCAGTGTGCTGGGGGGGGGCAGCAGACTGAGGGGGTTCCTGCTGCACGCTGCAGGCAGACATGCAGTGGCCCACGAAGAATGGCAGTGGGTGATGCAAGCTTCTGGACACAGCTGTTTCGGCATGAATTCCAGCCTGCCTTGCAGCCTGTGGCATCTGGAAGACACAGGTGCAAGGTGGTTAAAGAATCAAACAGGTAGCACACTGCACATGAAGCTTCTTGAGGATTGTGTGCTAGTTTCTGAAGGGATTTTTCTACAGTATTAGTTTCCTTCACTGAAAACATGTTCTTTTGTCCATTTGCTTTCAAGTAAATTGAAGTAGTGAACACTCTTTCTGCAGAATTCTCCATCCCAATTTGCCAGCTTCTAGAGTTCAGAAAAGGTGGAGCCCAATACATCTGGTACAGGTTACCCCATCACAGCTGAAAATAAGTACAACTCATTGAAAGTATCTGCCAAAAAAGAATCCTGCATATGGCTAATACTACTGTAAGATGATGAGTGTCATCTCCCACACTGCAGGAAGTGCCAGCTGCCAGCAAGTTGGCACTTCATTGTGTGCATCCTTCTGTTGGACCAGCTGCAGAGCTGCTGCTGGAGTCCCAGATCCCACCTCTGACACTGCCCCTAGCCCTCTGTCATCCTGCAGAGCCCACTGGTCACTGAATGCAGCCATGGCCATTAAGAGTCACCCTCCTTAGCCAACCCAAGCTTCACCACTCACTGCAGCCTAGTATTCGACTTTGCTTTCTACTTGTGTCACGCCCAGCAATGCTACCATAGGGACCAATCTGCACAGAGGAGCACCCTGCTTTGACCAGCACCGGCAAGAGATGTTCTTGGGCAAGCAGCATGGCAGAGATGACTCTTCTTGAGAAGGTGACAGGATAAGGAGAGTCTGAAATCTCCATCTGCCATCATTCGTCTATATATCCAGGTCTTCTCACTGCATATCAACATAGCAAGGAAGACTGAGGAAAACAAACAAAAAACCACAGCCAAACAATGTGATTCACTGTCTTTTGTTCTTTCCTCCAGCTGACCCACACCAACCAGGAAGAACTGAGCTAACCACAAGTAGGTGGAATTGTATTTTCCACAAGACAACTTTGGGAACCAAGCAGAGACATTTCAAACAACACTTTCACCCAAGAACTCAGCTGAGCTCGCATAAAAATCATTCCAACACTATAAATGCTCCACTTCTACACTCCTGTGTCTTGGCACTTTTTTTTTTTTTTTCACTCTTTGAAAGCTTACTCAACTAGAAAAAAAAAAAAGAACAACAACAAAAAAAAACTTAGAAGGAATTGCTGCCACCACCAGAAGGTCACTGCCAGTTTATGCAAAGCCAAAATTAGCTACCACAATGCCATTGTTCATACTAAGCACAGGTTGCTGTTCAGCTCCAAATCACCGCAGGGCAATTTACAGTCACCTCCACATCCCCCTCCTCTCTCTCTTGCTGGCTGACCTCCTCCTACCACACAAAGTCAGCTGCCAAGCCCAGCTTAATGGAAACAAAGGCATCTTGTCTAGTGTGCGTCCGTTTCATTAAAAAGCTCAAATCCCACCTAACAAGAAGCAGAACAAAAAAGCCATGAAGTTATTTTAAGAAGTAAAGGTTTGCTACTGAGATCAAGTTCACAGCTTATTCTATCATCACTGCTCTTGGATTCCTCCTAATTACTTCTGGGGGCTTGGACTTGCTGCTTTGAAACACATCTAGCAGGTATTGTGTGGATTTAGCAGCTCCTGAGTTTAGTGTTCCAAAACAAATGCAATTCAATCAGGTACAAGTGCTTTACAGAGCTTTAGCAGAAGTACATCTCCAGCAGGCTTCTTCTTGTTTACAGGCAAAAACAACAACTCTTTACTGCCATTACGTCCTTGGAGCAACAGATAAAGTTGGCCTGGGTACAGCTTTTACCACCAGAAGCAAAACGTGTAGATGACCCACCTAAAACAGCAAACAAAACTATCAGTTTCGTGTCACTCCAGCTGGGAGCTGAACGAATCTCTCACAAAGCACACTTACAGTACTCTTTCTGGCTGTGGAGTGGAGGGAACGTGCCGGCTCCCCACTTGTTCCTCCGCTACCAATCTTTTTTATCATTATTTAAGTACTTCAAAGAGAGTAAGGATGATTAAAAAAATCCCTCCCATCAGTTTGTGTAAGAAGGTAGTGCCTCTGCCTGGCAGTGACCACCTTAGCAAGCAAGGAGATGCTGAGCTAGAAACCTGCCTTTTCCAGACACTGAGCACCACTCTCAGCTGGTTGCGCCCTTGGCCTACAGAAGGATGCTCAGCCACTCCGGTATTCTCAGGAGGTGTCCTACACCCAGCATCCAAAAGACACAGCATTCCTAAGAGGCACAAGGCCAAGGATATCAAGAAAACATTTCCAATTTGAAATTGGACTTCACTGCACAAGGATATCAGAACCCCAAATTATACCAGTCTTTCAGCCAAGGATCCCTCCGATACGGCACCTCTCCTAGAATATGTAACATAGGGCTGCCGTTACACAGGGCTTCAAAATACTGGTGCTTAAATCCTTTTCAAGGAGAACCAAGGTTTTCCAGGTGATCTCTATTTAGGTATATGATTTCTGAGCTTAAGGATTCCCCCAGAATTTTGAAATCCAGAAGTGTATCCAACAGCTCCGAAAAGAGCAAGCTATTCACACTGCTGCTTTAGGGCCAAGAGATCTGACCTTCTCTAGAAAGTTGGCTCTGTAATTGTCCATCTTGGTCTCTAACACACTGTGCAGAGACTCTGAGCATCATCACCTGCTCACAAGCTGAGCTATCTAGCTGAACTTACCTTCACACTTAAGAATGGAGATAAGAAGCAAGAAGTGGAGAGTGAAGGAAGTTCACCAACAAGATCACTGTAACTCAGTGTATGAATTTGGGTACACACCAAGTTCTCACACTGCCCACAGTATTTTCAAAATCTAAGTTGTGCTGTGACCTCTTGATGTTCTAGTACTGATGTGGAAACAACTTTCCTACAGGTTAGAAATTACATCTCCCATACCAACCACTTTTAATTGTAGAATTATTCAAAACTGAACTCACCTTTTCACACGTCTGAATTAAAAACCTAATTCTCAAACTGCTGGAGGCCTGCCTATATAGGTCAAGGTTGCTCAGGTTCATTGCTTTGTATATTACAGTTTAAAGAATGCTCTAAATTCAAGGTTTTTAACTTTTTAATCTATGGGCAAAACTTCCCATAAACTCAGATTAACGACTGCTAATGCACTGAAAAAAGAAAACCAAAAACCTTCCTCCTACTATAAAAACAAAATAGTGTGGCCTCTGTTTCTTTTCTGATAAGAGTCTTAAATACCAAACATTTAACTGCATAATAACGTTTACTGGCAGCCAGGCAGCCTGCTTAGCAGATATATAAAGCAGGTAAAAGGAGAAAAAGTTAATTTCTTGGCTGAATGATTCCATCGGTAGCTATAGGGCAAACTAGAAAGTCTTTTAGTAAAGTAGCAGTTGATTCTTCTATCAATCTGCAGCACACATACTCTTCCAAGGAATGCATTAAATATGAAAATCATATCCCGTTATCATCTGTTTCCAGCTTTCAGCCCAGTAAGCTTTTCTTAATGAATGCTGTAGCCTAAGGGACAAGCATGCTGTTGGCTTTTCTGAATAATGGAGTGATGCTACCATTTTTGCTTATTACAATATCGACTAGCTGAGGGGGTTTCACACATAGTCACAAGTGACTACTCTTGCCAGCATGCTCCAAGTTATTACAAGATGTTTTTAGACATTTCATCTAAAAGAGCTTTACTGCTTTTAGTGAAGAAAACAGCTATGGTCTTGAACTGTATCATTTATATGGAGATAGGAGGAGGGATTAGAAGCCTGCATTACTGCAGATATATAGCAGAATATATTTAAGTATTCCTTGTCAGTCTTTTTGTCTGTTACTTAGATAGGCAATCTCTTTTTGCTTCTTCTGAGAAAAGGTCAGAACACAAAATTATAAATACACCACAAGAATCAATAGCTGCATTTTTTAAATTACTGTTCATTAAGAACATTTCCTGCTTGGTCAATACCCTTCACACATTATTCAGCACACAAATTATAAAAACCGACACAAAGACAACGATGAACACTCAGAGTTCCTCTTCCTTTTTAATTCTAGCTCTTTGATTGAAATAATTGCACTTTTTACTCAGGTTCTCTACTTCACTCAGGCTCTAAACAATATTTCACACTACAGCTGACAGCTCAAAATCCCCACGTAAAGGCTGCTTAGCAGCGTCTGCCTCTTAACACAGTCGCTCAGTGGAAAGAACATTATGGGAATAACACACATTTTTATCCCCCCCCCTTCCACCACCACCACTCCCACATTACCTGCTCACTGCAGCCTTCTTCCTTGTCACCTCGTGCCAAGCCACCCTCTTGAAACAACAGCCCACTTTTAATTTCTCTTCCACACCGCACCTAAACGTGAACAAACCCATTACGTTACATGGAAGGCCAAAAGAACAAAGCACAGATGAGCAAATATTGCTTTGCAAACTGTGTACTGAGCATCCTTCTTCACTTGTTTTCACCCCCCTGAGCAAATGGCAAGGCTTGTGAATAAAAAAAAATAACTGCTGGAGTTTGTAGATCATTACTCATTCATCTAACAGTCTACAGGACAGCAATAACTTCTTGACTCGTGTTACAAACCAAATTCTGACTGAGTACATCAAATTACTCCTGCTCTATCAGACAACTGCATCAAACGAAATTCAGAATTTGGGTTGTGTACATCTCCCTGCAACTCACGGAGCCGTTTTAAGGAAAAAATATATGGCAGATGTTATGAAGAGCAACCCAGCATGAAAGGCAACTTGCTGTCGTGTTGCTAACAAACAACTGCATAAAACGTCCTCACCTCCACTACATTGTTTAATTGACCAAACGTAATGCATTCATAGTAGGACTACTGCTTAAAAGCCAGGCACATGCAGCACCTATAATTAATCCTGTTTGTTTGTAATTGTAAACACCAATAACAAGTTACACTGGTACTGAATGAAAGCACTTCAATACCTATTCTGCATCAGGTAATATGCATGAAGATAAATCTTCAGAACAATTAACTTAGCCAGCCTTGCACTTCATTCCAACTGTGCACTCAGCAAGCCTTACTTTCTGGGTAAGGAGAGCTGCTCATAAAATCATAAACATTAACTTCTAAGGAACAGAAATTGATCACAAGAAAACTAAAGATGCCCAAAAGAAACTCAAATGTAAGCCCTGGATTTTCCTGAAAGCTTACGTGATTTTACACAGACGCCTAAAAATTACTGAACAAATTGCAGGCATATAAATGGGGGAAAAAAAACAAACAAACATCACCAAATCTCTCACAACTAAGTTTTTTTTTTCCCCCTCAGCCACAGCACATAATAAATTGTATAAATAGTCATGGTAAAGCACTCCTAAGGAGTGCTATTAAAAAAAAAAAAAAAGAAAGAAAGAAAAGGTAATTCCTGTCAGTGCACTTCCACAATAGATTAAATGATGACATGCTTCATAATTCTTAAATAATCCACAACAAGAGAGCTTTTCATAACTGCAGCACAGAAGGTTTGTAATCAGTGCTTTGTTCAGCAGCTCAGAGGAGAATAAGCCTGAACTAGGAAAAATAAAATAGATGGTGCAGAAGCAGCAACATGGAAGCCCTGAATGAAAACACTGTGTGTAGATCAGCCCAGGGCACAACTGGGACTCACACCAACACAACCTATTGAAGAGTGAAAGGCAAACTAGTAGGCATTAGGGCTGTTCAAGAAGAAAAAAAAATTAAGAAAAGGGAAAAAGAAGATCTAGCATGAAGGTATTCCCAGCCTCACAAAAAAAGCACAGAGGACTCACATGCCCACACCTGGAACAGTCTATAAACTGTACATTAGCAAGCTGAAGCTAGGAAATTTTTCCCCAAACCCAGCAGGCAAGGGAAGTTAGCAGACAGTGGCTGGGAGGTACTGGGCAAGGCAGTTATGAACGTGGTATGCAGCCGTGGGGTTTGGGAGAGCGGAAATCAATCAGCACCATGGGAGAGAGCTACACCTTCCTTACTGCCAGCAGCAGGGAGGGCAGCTATCACAGCCCCAGGTCACCTCTTCTGTACACTGAAGTCAACACTGACACAAAAGCGACCTTCTGAACCAGAAACCCAAGTGCAAAGCCAATGGTGTTTTAAAGGAGCGTTAATCAACACAAGAAGTTCTCATGGCCCCTTCTCTAAACGCATTCCAGAAGAAGCATTAAAAATTATTACAACCATAAAAATCTTCCATACGAAGAGAGAAAATAGATTGGGGCTATTTACTTTAAGATGAACAGGGGAGGGCAGGGTTAATACGTTGCATTAGGACTAACATGGGCCAACTACTCAATGAGTGAAAGCCAAACCAGACAGTAAGAAAGAAAAAAATAAAGCATGCTGCTGCATCCCTACTTCAGGTTAAGCTCTAATAGTACTTCCAAAAATATTAAGAGAAGTTCCAAAGAATATTTAAAGGGAGATGTGCCAGTGCAATCTGAACACAGGCTTTTTAGATAGCCCCTTTTAAAAGGATCGTAGTCTACATTCTGCTATCTCAGGTGAAGCTGTATGGATCCCTGAATGGGAACAGAAGGAAAACGGTACACTAGGATAAGGCTGTTCCAGTTTGAATTCAAAGTGCACTTCAGAGAAGTAATCACAACTGAATTGTAGACAGCCACCCAATACTGTGTCAGCATCAAATGGGGGCTTAAAACACCTTACCTGTTTCCTCTCCTCCCTTATTCTAGCAAACTTAAAAAGAGAAAAAAAAACCCACCTGCAGCTGCATGAATACCCCTGCCAAATGCTTTTAAAGAATGCTACTTCTCTTAGCAAGAGGATAGAACACTTCTTTCCCAGTAAATGTTTTAACTTTTAGCTCTCCAAAATCTGACTCCATCTATCAATGACATATCATCTTCCCTTTTTTAAACCTAAGATCACTTCCAATCCACATTACCTTGCAACACCCCATATTATTCCTGGGTAGAGTGACACAAAATATCAATACTTCAATTATACAAGGTGATGAAACGCTCCTTGAATTTTACTTCACTAACCCAGAAAAAAGTTCAGCATTTTTCAGCTCTGAAAGCAAATGAACCACATCTGTTTACATACAAAACTATTAAAAGACCTGAGGGATGCAACGGTTTGCTGGTAGAAGCTCTTTTTCTTACCACTGTTCAAGTATTGCCACTTGACTGTTTAGTAAATAGAACCAATAGCGACTTGTTGTAGATCTGCTTCAGCCCAAACAGTTCCAACAGGGTAATTTGTTTTAACAGGAGAGTCAGTGACACCTCTGTTGATGAGAACGGTGTGATGAGCAGCAGCAAAATTAGCTGCGGCTACTTAGGGCAATCACACCAGCAAGATTAGAAACATACCCTGAAATAACTTCAAGGAAATGCATTAGGATTTTTGTAAGTAATAACATTATATTTTACTAAGGGTTTTATAACAAAGTCTCTATGAAAACGTTGCAACTCGAGGCCTTTGTCTGACCTAACCTAGATAATGTTAATGATAACTTCCAAACATTGGCACTTAGAGCACTCTAAAATACAGGATGAAGTTAGGCCAACATCCTGATGTACAAAATAGACAAAACCAGTTCAGCAACCCCCGTAGTAACATATTAGTAAGTCTTCTAGAAAGTTACTTCCATCTTCTCAATCAGCTCTGAACTCGAAGCTTTCATCTGAGCCTCAAACTCGTTGAATTCATTTAAGAACGCCTGATTTCGTAGAAGAGCTTTTTTCTGTCGTTCATTTACTTCTTCCAAGTACTTTTTCAGCTTCACATATTTTAGTTTCATTCTAAGGGGGAAAAAGAAAGTGTACTTAAACAGCAGGAAATTAAAACCAACACATCTATCACAGTTTTCTTCAGACACATACATAAATTCTGGCACAGGAACTGCCTGAGCGCCAAAGCTATACAACAAACTGTATAACCTACAGTTTAAACACAACTTTTGCTTCAAAAGGATAAATATATATACTTAAAACTTAAATAAGTCTGCTTGGAATTAATGCAATATGTCCAAAATGGAAGTGGCATTTAGAAGAATGTATATGGTGAGTCAAACAGTGAATTAAGGCTGCCAACCTAAATCCGTGCTGCTCCAGGTGGTGCACCTCACTCCAAGCCTTCCTTCTTTCACTGCGCTGATACCACCTGCTCTGCACCCACACAGCAAATTGGGCCAGGAGCAATCCAGGTGGAAATCCACCTCGACCATTTCTCACCCACCCAAACAAACAGATTCACTTTCAAAATCCATTGGATTCAAATAAATAACTCCGAAAATAAAGCACCGTATGTGGCCCCATTTGCTCAGAGTTTTTTCTTGTATTTACATTCTGACATGAATCTAAAGGCCCTCTTTCAGAAGAGCATTCCCTGAGGGATTCTGCCATAATTGCACCTACCCACCGTTCATTTGAGCCACAACTGCAAAGCCACTTCTGTGAACTTTACAAAACACACTTGAGGGAAAAACAAAAAACCCAAAGCCCTACAAACAAGAATGCCTGAAATTCTGCTCCTCTCTAGAATTCCAGATGCCTTTCCCAGCATCTTAGGAGACTTCCATCCACGCAGACACCACAGTCACTGTTTCAAAGACACAACGTGCCCCTTTCATAATATTTTCTTTTAAAAATAGATCTACTTTGCAATACTTCTCAAGCTCATAACCCCCTCAGAGCTACTCAGGAGAGCTAGGATCTTTTGATGCTCATATGCTCACTGGAGAGCTATCAGTTCCAGAAACTGCTAACCTTCTGTCTAAGCTGCTTGAGACAGGAATTTTGTGGCTTATGTGTAAAAAAAAAAAAAAAGGAGAGGAAGAAGGGAGAAGCTTTGAGATAAATGCAATTATTAAGAGAAGCAAACACACTATATTAATTTGAATGGGCAATGTGGGACATGTTTGCAGTTTTAATGGCTTAGTCTTTCTCAAAAGGGCTGTCACCAGCAATGCTTATAACCTGGCACATGTTATATACAACTGTGTCCAGATAAGGCATCTGAATTTCTGAACATCCAGTCCAGATGCACAGCCAGCACACTACATGGCTATTTAAGCTTTTCTTAATTCCAGCCTGCATGTGTAACTTGCATTAAATAGATAATGTAGAAACAATCCAGGGAGCAAAATTACAACCTAGAATATCCTTTAGCACTTCCTAAAACTTTCAGGCGTCCTGTGACATGATAACGGCAGCACAGAGCACTAGGAAGGAAACACCTTCTACATTTCACACTACAATGACTCCACAAACATTGCACAAAACTAACATGCATGCCAGATGTTAAGATAGTAACATTCAGTATTAGCAGAACAAGGTAGCTATGTTAACATAAGTGACTTCACCAGTAACTGAAGTCTTAGTAACTAAAATAAAACAACCAATGAAAAGTTTTGAACTCAGGCTTACAGGTATGCATCAGAACTTTTGTATTCTAGCAGTTTCCTTTCCAATTCTAGTCTTCTGGTTTCACTAGAAGAAAACATACAATATATGATAAGACACAATTATTTTATAATTTAAACACCCAAAACATGTGGGCATAGGCCCATGGGGAGGACCGGGCTGCTTAGGAAAAAAACCTCTGTTTTCAGAAGGAGAAAAGAATAACAGTGATAATAACCACAATCCATTCCTGAAAGCAAGAAACCACCCCATGAGCAAAAGTTAGCAATTGATAAGTCAATGGCTCCCAGTAAATTTGAATTATAAACCCTGCAACAATCAAAGCAAGTTCTTTAAGTTTGTTTTTGTGTTAAAAATGATCACAGATTTGTTCTGGGTAGGAAGGCTGCACATGTGAGAGTGACATGGACAGGGCTGTATGCACCCACGTGGCTAGGCATGCTTTTCCATGTATCTGTGCTGCCTACAAATGAGTTCATGTCACAGCCACACACATCCACCTCCTCCCAGCTGCCCCGCACAGAGGAAAGCCTTCCTCCTCTGCAGCCTGTGAGATCAAGGCATCCATTTTACCCATCTGATCCTGCCACTGTCTGAAGCAAGATTACGTTTTCATGTCATGTATGCAATTTAAAAGCCACGCTTCATCTGGGATCTCATGCTTTCAATTTCCTTTTACATGATGGACAGCTAAGCAAAAGCAGATTTCAAGATCTTGTTTTTACACTTCTAGAAGTAATTTTCATGACTTGATGAAGAACACTGCGATATCCTGATGGATGTAAAAGTCAGCAGATGCCATTGGCATCTCTCCTATTTCTCATTCTCCAGTACCACAGGCAGCACGTTGCTAGCTCATGAAGGATTGCTTCCTTTCTCCCAGCATGCTTTGCCAGCATCCCACTCACAGGTCTGTCCTGAATCTCAGAATGGCCTGGCTTGGATGGGACCTCAAGGATCACCAAGCTCCAATCCCCCTGACACAGGCAAGGCCACCAACCTCCATATCTCATACTAGACCAGGCTGCCTGGGGCCCCATCCAACCTGGCCTTGAACACCTCCAGGGATGTAACTAGTCTAGAAGAGCCCAGCTTCCCACGAATTTATATTCATCATCTTCACAAACTCCAAGACTTCTGTATCCTGCAGCACTGACTGAATCTGGCCAATAATTTCAAGTTATTAGAAGATACTCTGGGTGTATACACACTTCATTTCACTTGGAAATTAGAACAAGAAGAAAAGCTTTTTCACAGAGTACACGCAAAATTACTAAAAACAGGCAAAGGATAAAAAAGTCATTAATTAGTTAGCTCAGTTGCTGGCATTGCGTCACGTATTTTCTCATGAGCGAGCAATACAGACACAAGCAAGCAGACAGGCAGCACCTGAGTACATAATGCAGACCATGTCTAGCAGGAAGATAAAGAAATATAAGAACTGTCACACGAGAGCCTCTCAGCATTTGAGTACCAGCGTTATAAACGCCTGGAACGGCCAACCGGGAGAAGAGGCCGAGCCCACAGCCTGCCTCCAGGAACTCGCAGAGCGCAGCAAGCTCCTCTCCTCCACACCAAACAATCCCAGCTCGTTCTCCCCGCCACCCAAACCCAGCGCTCCGAGCCCCACGGCCCTCACCTCTCTCGGAGGCACCGCAGGAGGCCGCCCAGCCGCTGGCTGCGTGGCGGGGAGCTCTCGGGGTGCGGCCCGCCCGCCGCCGGGCCCGCTCCGCTCATGCCGCGCTGTTTACGGCCGTGACCAACGCAACGGCTCCCGCCCTGCCCCGCGCCGCCCGCCCGCCCCGCCCCGGAAGGCCGCGCTGCGCTGTGTGGATGGGGGGGGAGCGGGGTTGTGTTGTGTGGAGAGCGGGGAGCGTAGGAGCATAGGAGCGGAGCGCGTGGAGCTGCCCCGCCAGAGGCGCCCAGCGCAGCCCAGCCCCCCTGTGCGAGCGCGCCCTGAAAGCAAATACGTGTCATTCACAGCGCAGCGCCGTTCCGCACTTCCGCAAGAGACAACAGACAAAACGTAGGGCGGGCTTTGCCTCAATTCCCAAAGCGGCACAGTTTACCCCGAGATGTGTTTTACCCCCTGCCTCAGCCGCCGCTTCTCAGTGTGGGGTTTCAGCGCTCCAAGCGGAGCGGCCCCCTGGCTGCTTGGAAATAATGAGGTTTTTATAGCAGCTTCGTAGTTAAATCGTTTTCTTTTTTTAAGTCCCCGGTAAGAGCTCGTATTGCTAATATCTACGTCAAAGTAAATAATCTCCCCTCTGACACCGAGGTGAGGCACTAAAAACTTGCTGTTCACAAATGTCAGCCATGAAACGCCCTGTCAGCCTGACGCATACTTTGAATGCATCGCTGATTGTCAGTGCAGAAAACTGTCAAATGCTACATGGCATTTGAACAAGAAAACACTTTCATATACTACAATTTTGTTATTTTTCAAAACAGGCAAAGAATTTGGCTTTGTCAAACCCGTACCGGTGACATACCAGGCTCGGTTCTGGAAGACTAAACGGCTTTTGAAAATATTTGTGCTTGCTAAAATAATATCAAAACTTTCAAACCCTTCTATTGCAATCAGAAGCTGTGAGCGTATATTATATTTACATACTGGAAAATGTTATTCCCCAGCCGAGACTTCCAGGTCTCAGCTGGATGGAATCAGCCGTCCGGCCTTGGAGGAGGGACCTGTAGGACCGCACGGTTTGTCTCAGACCGTGCCAGCCCTGCTGATGTTCTATTTGTGACCCAACACCAGGCAAACGTGAGGCCAGGGGGTCCTGAGGAGCTGTCGCCTGGCCACTCCAATATATTTCCCATTTTATGCCCCTCGACCATTTATTCCATGGGTGCAGGGTTGTGCTCGCGTCCTCTGAGGCTTTGTAAGTCAGTTCTGTGATGAGATCCTCCGTGCTGACACTGATGGGCTCGTAATTGACTGAAGAATAATCTTATTACTCCCATCCCTGATAACTCACGTCAGTACCCCATCCCTGAAAGCCTACAAAGAGAAGTGTTTTGTTTGTGCTCTCCCTTTAGTACTTAACACTTCTTTTAGATTGTTTTAATTTAATTTTAATGTAATCTGATAAGAGCTGTAAAACTGTCAAAGAAATCTGTCTCGTTCTGTCTTATTAAATGCACTTTGAATGAAATGACGGGTTTTTTTCCCCAATAGCTGCCAAATGAAGGTATCTCTCAATTCAAACGAAGGGATTGATGTGCACTAATCTTACAGCTTTATCCATCATTTCTAATTTAGGAAGGAAGCCATGTGTGCTTTTAGCATCCCGCTCTCCCCTGGAGATTTAGCAGCACCCTGAAAGGTGCAGGCTGTACCTCACTGCAGCAATCATCTGGCTGTGGGATCTCAGTTCTTCACCACCATCCTGTCAGTTCAGTCAAAGCACAGCAGCCCAGAGGTTTTGTTTGATTTCACTGCAAGGGGATTTGCAGAAAGCCAGAGATGTTTTGAAAAGGGATTTTTCCTCTGTGCTCTGCCTTGGTTTCTGAAGCAACTGTACATTTGGCTGAGGCTTGCCCACAAGCCAGAACAGAATTGAATATATTTTCTTTTTCTTTTTTTTTTTTTTTTTCAATTAGATTTATAATGCAGGCCCTGGTAGCTATGTAAAAGGCATACAAAAAATTTGCATAATGCCCATATACGTCTTTTTGTTAATGAATCAAGTCCCAAATGAAGAGCACTAATAATACATTAGTAATCAAAGAGCAAATAACACCAGCAAACATATCTCGGCAGAGCAGTTGTGTGGATCCATTTCTGACTGCCAGTGTCAACGCGTGGAAGCAGTAATTAACATGTTGAATTTAATGTTTAAATTTTAATAAATTTAAATGTAATAAAACGCTTTTATTGAACGTTGCAGTTCCTTGAAACCTATTATTCCCCACGTCTGATGCATAAATAGAAAAGACATTGTCTTACTGAAGAGCACAGTGTTTGCTGCCAGCAGGACAGGTGAAATGAGTTCCTCCAGCAAGAACTTGTTAACACAGGAGCCACTGATAACAGCTGATTCAATACCAAACTTAAGAACAAGAATACAGTGTTTAAAGCCATACAGTGTTTATTAAGAATATAAGGACCTTATCCAGAGCCTGTTGAAATCATTGAAAGTCTCTAGTAATGTTGTCGTCAGTGGACCAGAAGGGATCCTGTATGTCCAGCCCTTCTCTGGCTGCTCCAAGCCATGAGTCTGAGAGGGTATCGGGGCGATCTGGGGTCTCAGTGATTCACAGTCGCTGCTGTTTGAGATGTAGACGTGAGGAATTAACCAGCAGCTTCTAGTTTCCATTGAAGTGGCTGCTTTTGTCTGAAGAGGGACGAGTAGATTGGCAGTGCTGAGCTCTCCCGTCCCTGGAGAAATAAGAACTGAATTTAGGTTTTCTGAGATGTGAGACGCGAGGCTGAATTTGAGCTGGACCACTCAGAGCAAGCCATCAGAGGGCTCAAGTCCTGTCTGACCTTACATCATCTGCCTGCTTTACACCACGGAGCACCCTGTGCAAACACTACTTTGAATTCTGTTGCTCCCACTGAAACAATGCTGATGTCCTTCTGTGCAGATCTTATGCCTCAGTAGGACGGGAGACTGCACCTGAGAGTGTTCCTGTCAATGGGAGTACCCTGCCTCTCTTTCAGAGCTTGCTCCTTGGTGCCAAGGCGAGTTGGTTCTGTATTGTTGCCCAGATCCTCTCTCTGGAAAACAGCAGTGCTATGAGCACATTCCTCTCCTGCCTGCCGCCTGTCCCACTTCTACTCCAGAAATCACAAAAAAATTGAAAGGAGGATATAAAACAAGCGAGAAATTCTTTCAACTGAACATGATAACATTTCCCTTTTAGCACCGCATTTGAGAGAGATCTGTTCTGAAGAGTTGCTTTCCATGTTGGCAGGGATGAGGCATTTAGGTAAGGTGAAAAGACTGAAGATCCAAAACTCCTGGCTCAAAGGGAGAATGCCTGGCCCATTGTCTGGTGTGATTAATGAAGCCTTTTGCATAGCGAGATAATGTGATGTGTGCTGAGTGTGGAATGCTACTGCACAGCAGAAATATCAGCAGTATGAATAATATTCGGCGCGATAACGACATCAATAAGCTAATCTATGTATTACTGGATTCGGCTCCAAAATGCCTCAAATGATATTTGTTTATTTCATAATTGCCAGCCACTTTGATGCACTTGTCGTCAGGTTCAACAAGTGCTCCAGGCTACAAGGGCCTGAAACAAAGGGAGGCACTTGGATGAGATTTGCAGTTTGGGATGATGGAGGAGAAGTTGTGTGGCTGCTCCTCACCGCTGCCCCAGGCAGCGAGGTGCTGCTCTCTGCATGGGTTTACAAACACAGCCTCTCTCTCAAGGTCTGCCGTAAACCAAAATGCTTAAACCCTCTTAAAAGACGTTTCTATTTCAGCGTGAGCGTTTGGGAGTCGTCGGCGACTTTAAGACAAAAATTGAGCACGTCAGCAAACAGCACGCACGGAAAATGAGTACGTTCCCTTGTGCTGGAGTGATGTTCAGATCAGAACTGCATTCCGGTGATGGTGTGGTCACTGTCTCTCCCCCTTCTGTTTTTCCCTCTGCACGAGGTGTGGAACTGTGTGTGGACCCTATGAATTGCAAGAGCAGCAGAGCTGCTCTGAACGTCACCTGGGGTGACAGCTCTACGCCGTCTCCCTAATTTCTCTCTTTGAAATCTAGTTTTGAGAAGACATGGTATTTTTCACTCTCATGCTGGTTTTCTGCTATTTATTATTTTTCCCCTCCGTCCCGTATGGGGATGAATGAAATGATCCATACATAGAAAGCATTCATTCATTCGAAAAGCAGAACGAGTGTAGGACTGTTAAATTAATTAAACTGTGTCTGCTCAGAGCTCAGCATCACCGGGCCCTGCCCTCTGCACTCCATTTTCTCGTGTGCAACAGTAAAAAATCACATCAACTCTCAGCAGGTACCCGAAGCAGAGGCCCTCAAAAAAACCTTGAGAACAGACTGAGAATATTCCAACGGTGTGTTCTGGGCTGAAAGTAATTTCAGAGCTCTCTCCAAGTAGTAGAAGGGGTAACCACGTAGGATGTGTGAATAGTAAGGGTCTGTCTCGCTGGGCTGACTTACAAGCTTAAAGTCCAACGTGCTTTGCCTGGGGGTAGATGTGCACAGCGCTGATGGGGACACTCATGTCCAACAGCAGCAAACTTTGCAAGGAGCAAGCCTTTGTTCTCCCTCCATACGTAAAACCCTGCTCCGTTTTTTGGCTTTTTTTTTTTTTTTTTTTGGCAGAAAAATGAACCCAGAACTCACGTGCGACAGTCACCATCCAGCTAAACCCGAGCCCCTTTTCTCACATCCTAAGGATTACATCCCTGCTTGTTATTTCCAAAACTGACTTAAAAGGGAAAGCGAGCGTTTCACGAACCTACACATTTTCCTACAGGGATTGTGGATTAATTATTATTATTATTTTTTTTCAATAAGCGTGGAATCAAACAAACAAATAAACAAACAAACAAAAAGTTCAAGGCAACTTCGTAACCTCTTCAGGGCAACACCCCGACGGTTTAATCGCAATTGTGCGACCATTCATAGGAGAGATAGGGAGCTGGAAACCTCGCAGTGCCCCGGGCAATCTCTCCGGGCCCCCCATCGGCACCCCCAGGGCTGCTTTCTGCAGCAGGGGACAAGTGGAATGGATGCTGAGCCGAGCA